TGTGTCTGTCCTGGGGAATAATTGAATTACTTATCTCCAGGATAGAAGACTCTGAAACTGGTTTGGGCCAGAAAGCCATGCTTCATTTAGTCACAAAGGACTTTTTACTAACTTTTGAACCCCTTGTCTGATTTGTGCCATTTTTGAATATGTTGTTCCCCCCCTGAATGGATTGATTGTGAATATGTAATTTTATGTGAATGTGATGTATGGTTTGGAGTTATGAAAGTTGGGTAGAAAGTATGTTTTAACTGTATGTATAATTGAGTTTCCTCTCAGGATAAGGGGAGGGAATATGTGGGATGTAACTGTGATGTGATTGGTTGTTTTATACCTCCCTGTGGGCGGTCCTGTATGTGAAAGGCTGTAATAAAAACCAGGCTGGGTGTGCCAGCACCTGAGTTCCTGCTTAACCCTCAAAGTGAAGTGTCATCTCATTATTGGGGGAAGGATTTATTGTATGCTGTTCCAGTTTGACTGCTAGGAGAGTAAACCTATTCGTATGGTTCCTATTCAGCTGTCTACAGCATTCATATGCTTGGGAGGATTCATATGCTTCTCCGGTTCGGTGGTTGTGGTGTCTGCTGCAGTGCTTGGAGTCCTCAGGAAGCGCTAGGAGCATCTTTCAACGGAGGTACCCAGTCGGGGTGCCAGGCGATCCGTTACACTGTCATTCAGTGTCTACACCATCTGCATGGAGACACTAAACTCAAGATTCAATGCATCTCTATGAAGAGATGCTGATTGGCCAGGGCTGTGTTTGGATTGTACTGGCTCAGCCCCTGATCTGCCTCCTTGACAGTCTCAGCTACTCCTATGGAAAAGCATTGTGATTCACTCAGAGAATCACTTCTGAAGCAGGCAGATCAGGGGCAGAGGCAGCAGCTGCATACTGGAATACAAGTAAGCTTTTACTGTATTTCGGTAGGCAAGTGGGAGCCTGGGGGGGGGGGGCTAGAATACATGTTTGTGTTCCTGACCCTACAGTGTTCCTTTAAGGATACAATAAATAAATAAGCAGCAGTCAACAAATGACTGAGCTGCCAAATGCCAAAATCAATTTTTAAGTGACCTTCTTTATTCAACCAAGAAATGTACCTGGTTAGGCTTTATTTAATTTGGTGTTGGAATACGGAATGCCACTTGAAAGTTAATTTTGGTGTTATGGCTCAATAATTTATTATTGGCTTTTACAAATGCTTTGTTTATGTAGTGAAACTTAATATAGCAATTGAGTTAGTGGATAATCACCGTCTAGGTTTTTATTATATTATTATTTAAGTTTGATCAGTCAACTAGCAATGTTTGAATTGCATATATTTTTCTATTAGATCCCAGTCATCCATGCAAAAATGAAGTATTTTATAAAGGCAAAAATAAAGTCCTTTAATCTGTTGAGCTCCTTTTTTCACTACTTGTCTGTACAACATATCACTTTCTCTTCATTTATATATCCAAAATCCTTAACAAATAATGAATAAGGATTAAAAGTTATAAAAATAAGAATATATTTATAAAAAAATTACACCCCTAATAGGTGTCAAAATTACCTTACTGCGATTCTAGAGATTAAAACATAAACCAGAAAATAAAACATAACAGAATAAAACATGTATCGAAACTAAATGATTAACATGAAATTAACAAAATTATAAAACTATTCACCACATACAGATGATGAAGCTGACAATGAACTAATGTTTCTTTGTATTTCCTTAATCTGGTGATCTATTTCTCTTAGTCGTAATTTCTGTTCTCTTAACATTTTTGTGTCATTTAAAACTTTTTCCCCAGGTGCTGGTTCCACATTTGCATTCTTGATCGTTGAAAATTCCTGTAAGACATGAAAGCAGGAGATATTTACACTCATATGCAATTCTTCTAAATGTTTTGCCTGCATAGATGGCTTGCATGAGCATATTTCTTTACTCAGTTTCCTGTAACTCTGGACAGATTTTATACATAAATAATTCTTATGTAACAGCTGTGCAGACAACATGAATTGAATATAAAGATAAACTGTAAATCAAAATCTGTTCCCAAAGATTCCAGGAAGGTTTCAACTGTCTTCAATCAATCTATCAATTCTGATAACCAAGTAGTTCCAAACTTAAAGGGGAACGCTAGGCACCACAACAACTCCAGCTAAATTAAGTAGTTATTGTGCCAGGAGGCCCACGGGTGCACTTTTACCTTAAGGGGTTATACAGTTCTCAAACGGTTTAATTTCAAAGTGAGCCTGCAGCACTGATTCTCAGGCCACCCAGATGACATCTGGCTTCTGAAGTCACAATTTTAGGAAGCTTATCGTCAGGCAAGAGTGCGTCCAGGGGCCTTCTTACACCATAAAAACTTAATTTGGATTAGGTTGTTATGGTGCCTAAACTGTCGCTTTAACTAGTGAAATACAACCAAGCGAATAATAATTTAATGAAAATTACTCCTAACAGTACTTTCTATACAATGATAAATAGTAGAATATAAATGGTAGAAAGGTTGAAACATCTATAGTCGAAACAACTATTTAAATTGTATTAATTTGGTGACATAACAGCAATGGTCATGTCAACTCTTTACAGAATAATGATGTTATGGCTACACAGATTGTGTGACATTTAAGCAGAGATAAGTGTATTTTTAAGACTTCTTTAAGATCACCAGAAGAAACAGATGCGTAAAAGCTTGAATGTGATAGACTTCAGCATTTTTTCATCTTAGATAAAGTCACCAGGTAACTTTAACATACAGCATGAAAAACAATAGTAATGTAGATCACTATTTAGGGGTTACTCCAAGCACTGTGACCACTTCAGTGTTTCAAAGTGGTCATGGTGTAAGGTGTCTGTATGATATAGAGATATCTGAGTTTGCTGGCAGAGGTGTATTTCCAGTTCCTGCAGCATAATTAGCAGCCTAGGCTGAGTAATGTGAATTCTGTGCATAAAATATATCTGTAAATGCTGACAATGCTGTATAGATTGCCCATACTGTCCCCCTGCTAACCTTCCTCAATCCTTTCCTCTACCTCGCTGGCTGAGTGAGCGTGATTATTGCACATGTGTCTTAGGTTCAATAATGCTTCTCTATGAAAATTTAATTGGACTGCCATGAGAGGTAGTAATGTCATTAAGAGCAGATCGGACCTGCAGGACAACAAAGTTAACTCTTTAAGTGCTGCAGCTTAGAATAGTGCAGTATACTGCTCTACACTGCAGCAATGAAACATACAAAATAAATAAATAAAGTAAATAAGTAAGAGTCGCCTGGCCCACAAAAATACTGCAGAGGGGCCTACGTGGTCGCTACCCCATGCTTCATCACTCTGGCAACAAAGTAAAGGGTAATAATGGGGCCCAGGAGATGCACAATAATGGGTACCTCAAAATATTTGGAGAGGAATGTCTAAATAGCAGGTAGATAAGGTAGCATAAAAGACCAATACAACAGGATGCACCTAATATTAGATGCATAATGTGTTAAAATGGAAAGTTAAAAAAAGTCCAAGGGACAAGGTCTAGAATTTTCACTTTCTGCCAGGTGATCTATCTTCTTTTAGGACTTAAATATTTTGTATGTACAGTAAAGAAAGAGAGAGAAAAGAACCAATGGTGCGGTATATTGCAATAATCAGAGGACACAACAAAAATGTGTGAATGACCACTCACATATAATGGAGATTAAAACCAGCTTCAGACTCAAAAGCGTGCAGTAATATATTTCCCACTTATGGATACATATGTTTCATGCATGACTTCAGTGGTATTAAGTGATGGATATATAATAATACACAAAGGAGAGAAGAAAGTACAATAGTGTGATATTGTAACTTTGAAGTGAATAATAAATGTGATGGCAGATGGCACAAGATGGCAGATGGCACAAGAGGTGAGCTTATGTCACAATGGTTCAGGCAGAGGGTGGTATAATCCCCACCTTTTGGATGTTAGTTTGTCATAACCTCTTCAGCAGCATAAGTAAAATGTACACATTACTCACAAGTGAGTAAACAAAGATTTTCATCCTTTATGCATATTTTTCTATTACACCCATTTTTGCCATGACACCCATTTTTGGTCTTTTAGACCTGTTTTACCTACATTTGCCCTCTTTAAAAAAGGCCACTGCCATGTGACCCACAATCTTGGCTCTTTTTCTAGCAAAGATATAATTCACCCCAAGCCTCGTCTTACTTATTAGCCCACCTGTATAATAAGCCCATCACATAATTACTGTTATATTTGTCCAGATATACTTCACGAGGAGTTTGTTCTTTTTTCTTTCTGCTTTCCCTTTGAGGATATTTGCCATAACATTGGAGCTACAAGAAAATTGTGTGATTTAATACATTACAACGCTTATGATTTGAGCCTGTCTTTGCATGGCTCATGTCCATGTGAGTTGGACTAATTACACTATATATACTATACGCTGGTAAATGTTTCTACACTATATAGTTTTCTCTTTTCCAGGCTCCAGAAGAACTTTGTCCTCCCAGTTACCACTTTTGAGCTTGGCGGCATTTAGGCTCCCTTCCACTGTTTTTTTTTTGCATGTTTAAGGTGGGTGAGAAGGATTCCCACTAGAGTGTAGTAGCAAATCATAAGCGTAGTAGTGTATTAAATCACACAATTTCCTTGTGTATATATATATATATATATATATATATATATATATATCCCACGGTTATATATATCTGAAAGCGACCTTTTATCACACAGACCACTGTATATATTCACAATCTATTGAATAAGTGAGATAAAACTTACTGTTTTTGTTCCGACTTTTATTTACGGAGCCGTCTGTGCAAAATAGTCAAACCTCAAAGACATAAATCTAGATTACTAAAACCGGAGATCTTGTGTTAAGCAGTACGCGGTAAGAGCTAATAGCACGTTTGTGTCATTTTTCCAAAACACTTGTGTTCTTTACAAAATAACACTCATAAGGCTAAGATTACTGCTTTCAATATAACTTGGACAGCATGAATCAGGGTGTGCTAACTTCCTTTCAGAAAAATTACCTATAATTTGTATGCAGCTCAAACATCTCTAGTGTATGCCTGTGAAACCTAACATCTGCTTGGATTTTGCTTACACTGTTATACCATATGATTTCCTTTTGTCCCAAATTCCACAAAACAACTAGGAGTCTGATTTAAAAAAATATGTAGGCATCTAAGCTTTTCAATTTATTCATGTGTTGGTTCTTTATAACACTCTGATGTTAGTGCTAGTGTGTCAGATCCTATTTAAAATGATGTTCTGCAAAATGAGTTTTTCATCATGGTCAGAGGTCTAAGAAAGTCCCTTACTGCCTGGCCAATAACCAACAAGAAAAACATATAGAATCTAAAATGTACTTCTAGGCCACAGACTGATAATAGTGAAGTTAAGAGCAAGCAATACTTTGGTAGTATAGGACCTGCCAAGATTGGGGTACATTGGCGTTGTGGTAGGCTTATGCAATGTATGATCATATACAGTAACTAAACCCCCATTGTTATTTTTGCCCAGGATAAGGTTTTTTTTTAAATAAAACTATTACATTCTGTGTACCTTGAAATTGCTGTTTAGTGAATGAGTGAGTGAGCTGGATCTTGTATATATTTTTTTTGTGTGTGTGTGTGTGTTACTAGTAAAACATTATCTAGAAGCAGATGCACCATTGAAAACCACTAATTAATATGTCTGCAAATGTATTTACTGTTATCAGCACACAAAAGCTTTCACAATACCTTATGGAAAAGATGATATCAAAATGTATATAATCACTCAGTGCTTGTCTGTTTCTTTACACACATAAAGTATGAACTCTTGTTTACAATGGAAAAAGAATTGTACACTATACATGTAATTGTTTGAGAATATAGACCTATGATTTTCATGAATCTTCTGTAGATAATGGTTCAGAGCTGAATGGAAAAACAAACATCTCATCTCTGGCAAGGAAAATTACGTATTGACATATAAATATCCTGCAACAGTATATGTTTTATAAAATAATGGTCCCTTACAATTAAAGCATGCATTGATGAGGTATTTTCCCACAATAAAGAAAAAACATTTCCTAAACAAGATGTCTGAGAAAAATATCTAGACCACAGTTTCAATCTTTCCAAACATACTGCACACACTGGCTAGATTAAAAGGGGCAGTCTAGGCACCATAACTACTACGGCGCACTGTACTAGTTATGTGCCCTCCCAATATTTTGTGGGCGCTCAGTTCAGGTCACATTTTCTGATATTTCTAAAGAGGAAATTCTTTTTCTGCAATATATATATATAAATATATATATATATATATATATATATATATATACATACACACACAGTTGCAAGAAAAAGTATGTGAACCCTTTGGAATGATATGGATTTCTGCACAAATTGGTCACAAAATGTGATCTGATCATCATCTAAGTCACAACAATAGACAATCACAGTCTGCTTAAACTAATAACACACAAAGAATGAAATGTTGCCATGTTTTTATTAAACACACCATGTAAGCATTCACAGTGCAGGTGGAAAAAGTATGTGAACCCTTGGATTTAATAACTGGTTGAACCTCCTTTGGCAGCAATAACTTCAACCAAACATTTCCTGTAGTTGCAGATCAAACGTGCACAACGGTCAGGAGTAATTCTTGACCATTCCTCTTTACAGAACTGTTTCAGTTCAGCAATATTCTTAGGATGTCTGGTGTGAATCGCTTTCTTGAGGTCATGCCACAGCATCTCAATCGGGTTGAGGTCAGGACTCTGACTGGGCCACTTCAGAAGGCGTATTTTCTTCTGTTTAAGCCATTCTGTTGTTGATTTACTTCTATGCTTTGGGTCATTGTCCTGTTGCAACACTCTTCTGTTGAGCTTCAGCTGGTAGACAGATGTCCTTAAGTTCTCCTGTAAAATGTCTTGATAAACTTGGGAATTCATTTTTCCTTCGATGATAGCAATCCGTCCAGGCCCTGACGCAGCAAAGCAGCCCCAAACCATGATGCCCCCACCACCATACTTCACAGTTGGGATGAAGTTTTGATGTTGGTGTGCTGTGCATTTTTTTCGCCACACATAGTGTTGTGTGTTTCTTCCAAACAACTCAACTTTGGTTTCATCTGTCCACAGAATATTTTGCCAGTACTGCTGTGGAACATCCAGGTGCTCTTGTGCAAACTGTAAACGTGCAGCAATGTTTTGTTTGGACAACAGTGGCTTCCTCTGTGGTATCCTCCCATGAAATCCATTCTTGTTTGGTGTTTTACGTATTGTAGATTCGCTAACAGGGATGTTAGCATTTGCCAGTGACTTTTGTAAGTCTTTAGCTGACACTCTAGGATTCTTCTTCACCTCATTGAGCAGTCTGCGCTGTGCTCTTGCAGTCATCTTTACAGGACGGCCACTCCTAGGGAGAGTAGCCGCAGTGCTGAACTTTCTCATTTTATAGACAATTTGTCTTACCGTGGACAGATGAACAGCAAGGCTTTTGGATATACTTTTATAACCCTTTCCAGCTTTATGCAAGTCAACAATTCTTAATCGTAGGTCTTCTGAGAGCTCTTTTGTGTGAGGCATCATTCACATCAGGCAATGCTTCTTGTGAAAAGCAAACCCAGAACTGGTGTGTGTTTTATAGGGCAGGGCAGCTGTAACCAACACCTCCAATCTCATCTCATTGATTGGACTCCAGTTGGCTGACATCTCACTCCAATTAGCTCTTGGAGATGTCATTAGTCTAGGGGTTCACATACGTTTTCCACCTGCACTGTGAATGTTTACCTGGTGTGTTCAATAAAAACATGGCAACATTTCATTCTTTGTGTGTTATTAGTTTAAGCAGACTGTGATTGTCTATAGTTGTGACTTAGATGATGATCAGATCACTTTTTATGACCAATTTGTGCAGAAATCCATATCATTTGGTCACTTGGAGTATTGTATGCAGTACTGGAGATCTTTAGAAGGATATTGATACTTTGGAGAGAAGGGCTACTAAATGGATTGAGTAGAAGAGAGAAGAGTAAAATTTACCAGGAAAGGTTAAAGGATCTTAACATTTATAGTATGGAGGAAAGACGAGACAGGATGGATATGACATTTAACATTTAAACACATAAAGGGAATCAAACCAGTAAAGGAGGAATGTATATTTAAAAGAAGAGGGGCAAAGGTTTGAAAATAATATCAGGAAATGTTACTTTACTGAGAGGGTAGTGGATGCATGGAATAGACTTCCAGCTGGTAAGACCACACCTTGAATATGCTGTGCAATTTTGGGCACCTATTCTAAAGAAGGATATTATGGCACTAGAAAAAAGGTCAGAGATGAGCTACAAAATTAATAAAAGGAATGGAACATTTTAGCTATGAAGAAAGGTTAACAAATGTAAACCTCTTTAGTTCAGAAAAACTTTGTCTCACAGGGGATATAATAACGTTATACAAATACATCTGGGGCCCAATACAAACCATTGTGTGGAAATCTATTCACCAATCGGACTTTACATAGGACACAAGGTCATGCGTTTAGACTTGAAGAAAAAAAGATTTAGTCTATGGCAAAGGAAAGATTTTTTTACTGTAAGAACAATAAGGATGTGGAATTCTCTGCCTGAAGAAGTGGTTTTATCAGAGTCCATACAGATGCTTAAACAGCAACTAGATGCATACTTGCAAAAACAGAATATTCAATTATATAATCTTTCAACTGTAGGGTAATCACTTCTTGATCCAAGGATAAATCTGACTGCCATTCTGGGGTCAAGAGGGATTTTTTTTTCCTAGTTTATTGCAAAATTGGAAGTGCTTCAAACTAGGGTCATTCGCTTTCTTTTTGATCAACAGCAAAAAACAAATGTGAGGAAGGCTAAACTTGATGGACGCAAGTCTCTTTTCAGCCTATTTAACTATGTTGTAGAGGTTAACACAGTGAGGGAGTTTAAGCATGCGTTGAATAAGGCTAGCCTACATATAAGATAAGGCCAGGGACTAATAAAAGAATTTAGAAATTGGGCAGATTACATAGGCTGAATGGTTAGTATCTGCCATCACATGCTATGTTTCTATGCTTCACATTCTATAATCACTACAGGAGACAATATTTCTCCATGTACACCATATGTATTATTCATGATGGACCGAATAGCCTTAGTACAGATTAACAAAAATAATGCGGGACCATCTGGAGGCATTCAGACTATAAAATCCAGACATTGTTCTAAAATTTACAAATGTATAGATTATGTCTACAATTGTAAAATGATAAATTAAAAATTAAATTAAATTAAGTTATTTTACAAATGATTTATTTCTTAATATAATTCTGTCTTCCCCATGACTTAACAGGGATTCCAACTGGATAAAGAATATCTTTTTTTTTTTCAGAAGAAAAGGAAAGGACTCCAAAAAAAGCAGGTTGTATCTCGTAAACACAATCTTTCTCAGTGATGAAAGAGTCAGCATTCCATTCATCTACTGGACTGATCAAACTCCCACAAACGCTACTTTTCTGCCAACTCTGCAAACACGTTATCTAAGATTGCTTACATAAACTTAAATACCTGGAATCTTTTCAAATAAGTTTTAGTTTACTTAGGCCATTATTGGTCATATCCAATAAAATAGTGAAAAAGCCTCTCTGTATGCTTTCCTGTATTTCGTTAAACTTGTTAGTGAGGTACAACCTGGTAAGAGACTAGAGAGGCATAGTAAGCAAGAGTCCATCGTGTTCTTTGGCTTATAGCAGTCCATATCCAGTTGTAGGACATACTTGAGCAATAGAGAAAACTCAATGTATACTTGCAGGTAAAATATTCCTCAAAATGTGTGTGTTTAATATGCTTTCGTATATTGCTTGTTTTATGTATTCACCTTGAATGCAGCATTCGTCTGATTGTTCGGTAAAATCCCTCCGTTTATTGTACAAGTGAAACTACCGAACAATCAGACCACCCCAGGGATAAGTGTGCCTCTTATTACTGTTCACAACAATGTTGCAAACCCCTAATTGGCAATTGGTACTTTGTTCTATGGGTGGCCGCCATTCGGGATACGAATACGTGGCGGCGGCCATCTTAACTCCCGAACAGCGATATTTGGTCGTCGAGTGTCTGGAACCCAAATCGGACACTCGACTAAGCAAACACCGCTGAGAACTCCAGACTTCCATATCTTCGTGCGGAAACAACCGAACGAGCAGCCATTCGGTAGAAAGACTTATCCGAACAAGGGAATTCACATGAAGGCAAGCAACAGCCATTTCATTCGGTATTTTCATCCGTTTATATCCACGAACCGAGACCGACCGCAAGGCCAAACCTTATGGAACTATTTTCGGCTACTGTTACCTGTGCGGTCGGTCAAAACTGTACTCTTCAATAACTCAAGAACCCCTGGTCCGATCTGGGTGATTTTTGAGTATGTTACTCACCCAGATCAGGGCTACCAGGGGATCCTCTATATAAAAGTGTATCCTATGTATTTGGGGTACATCCAGGAACTGGGGAAATACTGTACATGGATTATTTGGATTATGTGTCATGCTGAGGGGAGGAGATGTGTGGGAGGTAACATGTATTTTATTGGTTACTGTAATAATTACTGTGGGTGTCTCCCTTGCATGGGAGAATTGCTTAACACCTTAAGGACCAAAAGTCTGTAATAAAAGGGAATCATGACATGTCACACATGTCATGTGTCCTTAAGGGGTTAAAAGCAGGCATGTGAAATTAAACCTCAGTTCAGTTCTGCTCCTGATGCTGTGTGTCGTCCAGTCATTTGGATTGCTTTACTAATCATGGATATTATTCTCTTGTGTAGCTGTGATGGGATTGGGAATCTTCTTATATAGCCCAATCCCATCACAGCTACACATCCCTGAGGAAGTCCAGAGAAGGACGAAACGCGTTGGAACTGTTTTTATTTAGTTTTTGTACTGTTCATATGAACTTATATTGTTTGGTTGCTGCTATAACTGCTCCAGATCCTGTATCTTGATTGGCTCAGCTGTTACAAGTGGATACCACCCAGTGTGGAGACAAGCTGTTTTTATTCTGATACATTGTAAGTGCAATATATGTAATAAATTGTTACTCTTTATATAACCTGCACTATCTATTTCTTCTTTCCTTCCATTTGGAGTGAATTAGAAGATTTGCCATTATAAAATTGGATTCATCGCTGGAGGTCCTTCACATTCTCCAGTCCCCTAATACAGAGGGAGATATGCCTGATCTCATCCCATTTTTGTGAGTTCTCTACCACTTTCAATTTCTAAGTGGCTTTAACAATATCACACTATATATTGTTTGTGTATTTTTTACAGATGTAATTCTGAATCTAGAATATATCAACATAATCCAGTTTGTATTCACTTATTTATTATCACTTTGGTGATTCACATTAGCAGAATAGCGTCTTAGAGTTTATTGAAGAGCTGGCATGCATGTTATAGGTTTACCATAATTGATGTAGGACAATATTGTCTCCTTTGTTCTTGCCAAACCTTGTCCCAGACAATCCGATCTTATTATACTTAGTTGCACATGGCATCATTCTAATAGTAAAGGGTAATACGGATGGAGACCACTGGTCCAATGGTATATCTCTAGGCCATTCTGCATCTGCCTATAGGATCCCCATTAATTCTGAAGGACACATAGATGGTCAGCACCGTTTTAGACATTCTTAGCTGATTACATTTTTTTGGAAACAATGTAAAGAGTGAATAAGGAAGGAAGCAAATATTAATCATAGAGGAACTGTAAGTGCAGAATAGAACTTACTTATTTTGAGGGAAGACAAGGGTGGTTAGTGGGGACTGATATAGTTGGTGGGAAGTGGGACATGATATAGAGAGAATGAAAAAGAAGTGGGTAAGTACTATTTCCAGAAAACTAGGAAGGCAGACTCAAAAACATCTATCATCACTCTCATACACAATATCATCATCTAAATGGCATCTCAAACAAGGTGTACTCACTCACAATACTACAGAGGAAACATTTCCACAAGCATATTTAACTGGTCCCATCCATGAGACAGCAAAAAAAACAAAACAAAAACCTCCTCTCTATGTTTTCATATCTCATTCTTTTGCTTGTTACCATCATGGTAACTGCTTTCACTTAAAATATATGGTTTTATAATGCAATCAATATGAATACAGAATACATATCAGCTCACTTTAATTTATCAAGATTCTCGCTATGATCATGTGCTGCTCACTGTGTATGTACACATTTTCCATATAATTCACATATATACATACATGTTCACTGGATTCGCAGGGCTCTTCAACGTAGTGGAACTTCAGTAGCTTTGTCTCTATTATTGAAAGATGCTCACATTCTTCGGAATCTGCTGTGAAGCCTTCTCTAGGTACTAGGTATATGGACATATTTCCCTTAAAAAATTTAAAAAATTTAGTTTTTCCCACAGTCATGTCAAAGATTATGCAGGGACAGTGTAAATAGAAAGGTTATTAAGTTCCTCTGGGATGGCTTGCCCTTTCAGAGCAAACATTGTTTAATTTCTATTCTTCTGTGTATGCTTTCTCTATGCTTAGTGCCAGGTGCAGAAGACATAGCTTATAACAATGAATAACAGAGAGCTATCATGGAGGCGACCAGATGCAGGATAAAGAGCTGTGTATTTCTATGTTTGATTTTATTTTTAAAAACTCACAAATACATATGCGTTCAGTAAAAGGATAAGTAAACATAATATTAAAAATCCATCTGTTGTATTTTAAAGTGGTCAGGAATTATATATATATTTTTAATATATAGATATTTTTGTGCAGATTACAATGTATAAACACAGAAGCTTGCATTCATGCAACAGAAACCACATTTTTCACAGCGTAAACATAAACCATACAACTAATTCGGGGATAAGGCGATATTGCTAACAGATAGTATCACTTAACAAACGGCATAGTTCAGTGTCACTTGACACTAAGCTATTGGCATTGGAAAATAAAGGACAAAATATAAAAGAATGCGAGACCCATGGGGTATGCAGACGAGTATCATTACAGTATGAACATGTGGAGCTGCTGCATTAAAATAAACCATGAGGAAGATCAAACAAACTAATGGGTGTCCATTAAACTTAGAAATAAAATAGTTAACCTATTACTTCAGTTGGATACAGCTGGGCATGGTAGTAGAATCTCTGGAAAAAACAGGGAACTTTAGGGCTATGAAGGCATATAGCATGTAAGGCAGTGCTGATTTGAGCTTCTGTGAGTGCCCATTCCATCAAATATGCCAAGGAGGTGATCTGGCTTCTCACAGAAGCATGTTGCCAACTCTGGGGAATTTCAGGAACAAGCTAATTAAATTACCCTTTTGCTAAACCCATTAACCAGAGTTAACCTAAGGAAAACTGCTCCTCAACGGTTATTCTTCACTGTACTACACAATAGTCAGTAGTCTGTGTATGCAGAGTGAAAAAAAGACTCCGTACATCTTACTCGCATTCATTATTGTTGACATGTCTCTTCATTTCACATAATATTAAAATGTTTCTTGGGTAGTATTTACAATTATAATATTCCTTGACATGCATATTCATTGAAAATTCAAACGAAATCTAAGTAGATCTGCACACTCTGCTTACAAACCATATTTGTCTTGCTTAATCAATAAGATGTGTTTCAGTTTCTGGAAATGTATTTGCAATACTTTTTTGGGGTAAGTGAAGTTTACAGCATTGAGTGCTGAGTGGAAACAATTCTTTGTGAATATATAATGCTAGTTCTTTTAGATTTCTGTTTTTTATTGATCCAGATATTTTAATCAGAATTAGAATTAGTTGTTTTTAACAATACAAGTATTTTAAATTAATATTAATTTGATTGCAGTCTGTGCACCATTATGTAAGCAATATTACTATGCAACGTTCAATCAAACTATAGAGCTTTGGACCTAATATAGATTTAACAGAAAGAGGGCTTTGCAACTCAATAGTAATTTGCAGCATAAAAGGGGGCATATAAAAGTATGACAGAAGATGGTTGCACAAGACACTTCACACTTTGCAAAAGTAGATTTCCTGCCTTATTGTGGGAGTCATTATTTAAAGGATAACTGTCATCAAACTTTCACTTCTGATTTTGTACATTTATTACATTTAATGAAACTTAAAGGAAAACTCCTCTGCCCATACTAGAAAGAAAAATTAGAAATCACTGTTTCATGCATGTATTCATTGGGGGTATATCCTGAAACAGTTTCCTTATGAACTACAGCCATTGTAAGCACTCCCCTTTTTCCCTGAAGGAGACTATGTCTCTTTACAGGGGAAATAATAAATCTAAGGCTTCTTATTGAGAAGCCTCTGAAGGGCTCCCTCCGTGCACTTGCGCGCACTCATGAGCAGCATACTAATCTGAGGTCTGGATACTCGTGTAAGGCCTGAGGTGTGCAGGGGAGGGGCAGGCACGAGCAAGTAGACCACGTCTGCCACATCCATTGGCTCAGGTGTGCTAACGGAAGCAGGAAGAAACCTCACTGGATGCTGAAGGAGTATTTCATTCATTATTATTCTATTACAAATCAGCTATTTTATCAACTCTCATTATTATGGGATGCTCCTCAGCCATGAAGCACTTCAGCAAGCTGAAGTGCTTTATGGGTTTGGAGTGGTCTTTTAATGATTTTTTTTCAATGATGTATATTGGTTTTTTTTGAGAATGTCTGGACAAGTTCTTCTGTTATCTGATCAACTGCTTCTCATTCTAACTTGCCTCCTGCTGCAGTTTCACACAGGGAAACTGCACCAGCAGCCAAGTTCGATTGAGCAGCAACTAGTGCCTGGACAGATGTGCATATTATTTAAATTAAAAACATTTTATAAAGCTTTTATTATTTTTTTCTTGTTAAATTGCAAAACACAGCTATCATTTAGATTAGAAGCTTACATGTAACAGTTCTGCATTATGTAAAACTATAAGAAACATTCTTTATAATACTTACTTTAGTGTCTTCCTCGTCGCAGTCAATGTCAATATCTGCAAGAAGTTGCTCCAAACGTAACTGCTCGTCTTCCATAAGAAGTAAGCTGGACCCAGCTTCCTTTGCAAGCTTTGAACAAATGACATTAATGAACAATGACATTAATATTTCCAATAGACCACGTACGGGCTAAAGGTTCCATTCTGAGATAGGTATTCTTTCATTTTCAGATATTAAACATTTTCTACCTTGTTTATATAAAAAGTGCAGACATATGAGGGATGAAATTGTGTAAGTCATAAAATGTATTAAAAATAATTTGTAGCTGCTGAGGGTGCTAGAAAGTAAATTATAATTTCATTATTTATTCTGTTTTTTTACATGTGCAGCTAATTTAATTTTTATTATTAGTATTATGGCTATTTTGTGTGTATCTTGAATTCACAAACATGCGTGCAAAGGGACAAAAGCATGTCTTAGGGCAAGAAGGGCAAAGGGTTTCAAAAAATGACACTAAAAAAGACCAAAAGGTGGAACAAGTCATTAATAACTGAGAAAAACTGCAGAATATGAATTATATGTACTGCATGGCAATACGACCAGGAAAATGTGGTGGGTCTGGCAACCCTAATCAAACCACCAAGTTGGAAAAAATTAAAAGGTAAAATGCAGCTGTGCAGACATGTAACCACTTTCTGTCAGAGTGTGGTGCACATGTGCATCGAACTCGTACATGTTCTTCATGCGTAAAATGTCATTAGTGGCGTAACTACCATGGTCGCAGGGGTCGCAGGGGTCGCAGCTGCGACCGAGCCCATTACTCCAGGGCACCTGGCCGCAGCTGTGATCCTTGCGACCATGGGCCACCACAACTTCAGGGTCGGTGCACAGCAGCACCGGCACCTCAGTCCGTTGTTGTCTGGTTAACGGCAGGAGGGGAGCGCCATCCTGTGTTGCTCCCCTCCTGTCGCTCTCTTTGAGTAGCGTGACTGAGCGGATCGCAGTTTTACATGAAGTGCTCACTGAGAGAGCACTTCCTGTCAGCTTGGGTAGTGCTCAGCAAAGCTACACAAAGCCAGAAGGTACAGGAGGGAAGAGGCTAGAGGGAATGAGACAAATACAGGGGTGTGAGAGAAGGAATGAGACAAATGGAGGGGCTAGAGGGTGTGAGAGGGACAGAGACAAAGAGGGGGCTCGGTGGTGAGAGAGGGGAATGAGATAAATGGAGAGGCTGTGGAGGGAGGGAATGAGACACATGAAGGAGCTATGGGGAGGGTATGAGACACATGGAGGGGCTGGGGGGAAATGAGACACATGGAAGGGCTGGGGGAATGAGACACATTGAGGGGCTGGGGAATGGAACACTGAGGGGGCTGGGGAATGAGACACATGGAGGGCTGGGGAATGGGAGACACATGGAGGGAGCTGGGGGAAAAATAAAACACATGGAGGAGCTGGGGAATGAGACATATGTAGGGACTGGGAAGGAGGGAATAAGACACATGGGGGGAGGGGAGGGGAGGGCAGGGCAATTTTCGCACCGGAGCTCGGTGGTTTCTAGTTACACATCTGAATGTCTTCATTATAAATGGTACCTTCTGACTTGTGTGTGTAACTTTGTAGTTTTCATTTTAAAAAACAAAGATTCCTCTTTCACTACAGTGAACATTTTGGGGGATTTAAAATTAGGCAAAAATTGCTAAATTGGAAGTATAGCTGACCTGACAAATTTTTCTGGTTTAGCTATTTTGACTTTGAAATATGACATTCACTTTAAATTCACAACAATTTTCACTCTAGTGAATAACTCTGAAAGAGATTATGTGGGATAAATAATGTAATGGGTCTCTGTCAGCTATATGCAGGCTTCGGGTGCCATACTTAAGCACATGCAAGACCTGTATGACTGGACTCTACTAACAGTAGACATGTTGTATACTTGCAAAGTAAAACTGTTGTGCAGCGTTAGTGCAATTTATTTATATACCATGCATTTTCCACAATTTCAAGATAGACAGTGTGACAGAACACCTGGCACCTCGACTGGGTACCTCTGCCAATCGATACTTCTTAGCTGACGCTGAGGACCATAAGCATTGCACCGTACACTACAAGCACCGCAAACTCCACAATCGCCGTAGCTTAGCTGGGATCTCGCCATCTTCCTTCCACCCTGGACCAATCTCTGATAGCCAGGACCGTGTGGGAAAGACCTCTCCTCCAGGAGAGTATAGCTGTATAGCTCTTATAAGAGCTAGTGAAATAGCAGTATAGCAGTTCCCCTCCAATCACGAGAAAAAGCTACGTGTTGAGGGTTAATGGTGCCACAGCTGGCCTTATTTGCAAGTCCCCATGCAAGGGAACACCCACCTGGACCTTGTGGGGAACAGGATGACAATTGTTACAAGCCAATGATAATGCAGTACAGTAGGTGACACTCCCACACATTACACACAATTCCTCCCCTCAGCCTGGGAGATAATTGAGTCAAGTTCTGTATGTAACTCAATTAACTCCAGGCAGAAAAACACACATTTTTATATAGTATGAAAAGTACCCCAAAGCACAACATATCCCCATAAATGTTACATCCCCTGATAGCCCTGATCTGGGTGAACAACATATCCAAACATCAGCCAGATCAGAGCAGGGGTTCAGGAAATTCCTGGAAGTCTCTTTTTGACCGACCGCACGCATGGTTTCATGCCCAAAACCGTTCCAGAGAATCAGGCTGTGCGGCCGTTCTATTTCAAATAGTTGAAATACCGTTCGAATTACCGAAAGTAGCCGTTCAACTCCCGTTCGAATAGCCGAAGTTCCATGGAAGGTAACTGTTCAGTGGTGTTCATGCCGTCGCGTGTCCAATTTGAGTTCCATGAACCTGATGACAAAACACCGCTGAACACGTTCGACTAAACAAGATAGCTGCCACGTGTTTGACTATAGGAACGGCGACCACCCAGCCGTTCGTCAATTTGGCTGCGGTTAACTACCAGTCTGGGAGGTAAATAGGCTGCACACTCCACTTGCGTGTGGTCCGGCTGTTCGGTGTTTCAAAGTTCCACTGCGAACCAGTTTGAAAGTTCGAAGAATTATTGTCCAAAGTCATAATAGGTACAAATAGGGTTTTTAACCATAATAAATTAAAGGGGCCATAGTCACAGGGTAAAATGCTGGCAAGTAGATCCTTCCAAACCCCAGTGGCGAAGTGGCTTTCGCCACAGACAGGTATACTGAAACATGTAAATGATAGATAATTGTGGTATTTCATAATATCTTTTTTATTGCGCTGTCTATAGTTTGGAATTATAAACTTACAAGTTTATAATTCCGTCCTTTATCAAGTTTAAATAATTTTTACTAATATTTATAACTATGTCTGTCTATACATACTGCTAAGCTTTGTATACTTTTTCATTTAAAATGTGATCTGTGATTATAATAACCAGTTCAAGACTTAAGTCTAAGTAACCCTCAGTTTATGTTCAATCTGTGTTGCAAGGGGAAAGGGGAACTCTCGATGAATCAAGGTTTTAACCTCTAGAATGTTAGCTCATTTGAGCAGGGTCCTCAACCCTCTCTCTTCCTATGTGTCCTACTCATCTGGTTACAAATACATGTCTGTTAGTCCACGCATTGTACAGGACTGTAGAATTTGTTGGTGTATTACAAATAATAATAATAGCAGGTCCCTGAAATAAGGCTCCCGTGACAGAGCGGTGCTATAGCCTGAAATTGGTCAACCTTCCAATGTAATACATATCACAGAATATGACATTAATCAAAAATGTCAGCAGTCATATCAACATACATGTAGCATACGGGTACTGCCGGTCCCAGTTACTTTGGTTTATGCTGCAGGGTTCCTGCAGTGTGCTTGGAGGGAGAGACTTCCTTCACTCCAACCATCAGTATACACTGGCAGAATTCATCTGATGGGCAAATTCAGACACAGTCCCAGTTATATAAAAAAAATGTGGGTCTACATCTTGCTACAGCGAACCATCATATTCTGGCTGAATATATCATAGCAGGGGAACTGGTGATGTAGACATGATTTATTCTATATGGCAAAACCTGATCAAGGTTCTCACTTACCACCAGTATGGCCCTTCAGGCTGGCTGGCTCATTATGGCATTATAGTCCACCAAGAACATATTATATTTGGGACTGCCACCCTTCAATAGTCAGTGTTCATCAGTTGAAAGAGTAGTTTAGCCGTCTAACAGCCAGGAGGTTATACTTTGTCTCCATCTGGTGGTTATTTTTATTATTACATGGATAATACAATAGCACCAATTGAAATATGATTTACATCTAGCCCTCTAGTCTTATGTTACTGTACAAGTATTGTTCCATTGTCTGTATGGTTATAGTACAATATACATGCATACATCATGGACACATCTTCCTTGAAGTACATGTATATATCACATGCACATATTTAATGATCTGTATACAGTACACATTCATACTCCCTGATCTGCACATATACATAATTATTTTTGTCCACTTCAGACATGCCAAATGCTTATTATTTTATGTGAAAGCTAATTTATTAATTGGCCAATATTTGGGGGATGGGGATGTTCCATAAATACTTACCATCACCTCCCATCTAAGACATCCAACTGGTCACTCACTACTGCTATGTTTTATGGCTTTGTATGCTTTTCTTTCTTACTTCTCTTATACTACTATACTTATTTCATACTCAGTTTTCTCATTTCTTCTATTTGCTATTTTCTTCTTTCCAAGTAATTTTATATTACCATTTAGATATGTCACCTGCAAGTCCATTCCTATATGGCAAAGTCACCCAGGGATTTGCACTAATATCCAAATGGGGCAAAGCCTACATACAAGGTCCATTCAGACTGCAAAATACAGACTTGGTGTGGATTTCAGCTGGACCAAGCTCTGCTGCACAGCTGAAATTCGGGATGAATAGAATCAGAACTATTTGCTCACTGGCATGCCAGCAGCCAATGGGCAAATAATAAAACCGACCATCCCATGTGCTCCCTATTAAGGGTTAATAAGTATATAGGGGTGTATATAAAAAAATACCCCTTTCTGCATCATTGAGCTTTGCCAGAAGCTCAAGGAAACAAGATGAATGGTCAGAGTAGGACCCGTCTAGGGGGGTCTGCCTTGACGTTGGCAGGCGGGCATTCCCTCCAGTGGCCATTGGAGTAACTAAATGACCTCCATTTGTTTAAATATACATAGGGATTAAGGAGAGAGCGCAGGTAGCTTTTTTACTATATGTATTGGAGCTGATGTGTACTGTGGTCGTTGCTGCCGCCCAGGAGTGATGGGAGTGAGCGCAGGACTTTTCTTTTTGTATTTGAAATAATAAAACTTGCCTAGCTGCCACATACATTTAAAAAATAAACTATAGGTTTGAATAAGACCCCAATATTACTATAAAGGAGGTTTAAACCCTCCCTTTGCCTCACCTGTTATATATCTGCTAAAATAATTTAAACTAGTGACTGGGCTGCATGCCCTTACCTGTGGGGATTGGCTGGAGGAATTTAAAATAAATAGTGGGGGTGGACAGAGCAGATAATTTGGCCTCAAAAATGGCCAAATAATATCTAAAATTCCCAACACCACTAATAATGTTTTTTTTATTATTATTATTATTATAATAGCCCCCATCTGCAGAATAAAAGGTTTCATAACTACCAACAGGTAGAGCTTTCACCTGTTCCCCTATAGCTGTCATTTACTTGACTTTGTATATAAGAAATTTAAATTCTGCATTTGAATCAAAGGACCCAGAGCCATTGCATTACATTCAGCTCTGTGTTTTACTCCTGGATATAATCCTTCTGTGTTTTATCTTAAATTGCTTAATGTAATTTGTTTGTTATGAATACTGCTATTGACCACTAGCCATTGACGAGTAAAAATGTATCGATGGTGAGTAGAAATTCCCCCCTGGAGAGTATGCTATGGTTTGCAGTGGTGAGTAACTTTTAAAGCCTGGCATAGGACTGCAAATTTTAAGCCCTTCTGCTATTATACAGGTTTCCAGTTTTATTTATTTTTTCTATTCTGATTTCTTTAAATAAACTGCACTGTTATGTTCAACATAGATTCTATTGTGTAGAATTATCCTACGCACAAAAATTATTTTCTGACCTCTTGTTACAAGGTGTGACAACCTCCATGCTGGCTGTATCTGAGATCTGGCTCTGGTAGTACAGCAGGTGGACTGTCACTGCTGATACGGAGTCTACTGACTGACTTAGTAGACCTACTAGACCTAAGCGTAATAGATTGGTGTCTGAGTTAGGGTGTAAGGATACATACCCTTCACTACACCACTTACATGGTGCTGCTACCTCCCCAAGTAGGCACTACATCAATTTTAATCCCTGAGACACCTCTGCCAGTGTTACTGAAACCAAACACTGTAGCTCTGCCACACCCACATCATGACATCATCAACACAAAATCACGCAATTGTTGACCCACACTCAAGTTTTGGGGGGAGTGGCTATCAAGGAAACACCCCAGGCATATAAGTACTTGAGCTTTACAACTCTTCAGTGCCATGTTGTGGTTTCCTTGTGATGCCAATTGTACATTCCTTACTCTGATATTCTGGTTTCCCGACTTGGCTTGTCCGACTGCTCTGTTATCCATATTCTTCGACCTGGCTTTGCTTCTCGTTCTCATTGTGTACCACTGGAATCCCTGACCTTGCTTTGTTTCTTGCCTTTACTATTTTGCCTACTATAGGCACTGCATTAAGCCCGGCCACTCTAATGTCTATCAATATACTGATATCCTTTGTTTCTCTCCTTGGATATTATAGGTTTAGGCACTGCGTGTAGGGTTGTTATTCTTACCTTGATATGGAGTTTCGGTAGTAAGACAGAGAAGGTAGCTGCTAGGAGAAATGGAATGACAGACAAATCCTGTCTGACTGTCTGTAAGGGCTATCTTTGCAAATGAAAAAGTGGACAGTGTGGGAGTAGGAATGAAGCAAGGTATATGTGTAGTCTACTGACTCACTCAGGCACACGTTACATAGTCAAATTTACAATTACCATTGCCTTTGGTCCTTGGACCAATGTTGGACCTCTCAGTCCACCTACATTTTGCATAAAAGTCACTAACCTTATAATTTACCTTTTACACCTACCTCTATATTTCTTTGAATAAAATTTGTTCCCTTCTTATGGCTGTGAGTTTTCTTTTCGTTTGTTTCATGACTTGTTTCAATGGTAAATGTGTCACTTGCTTTGATGTCAGACACTTCATCTAAATAAAGAAACACAAATGAGCCAAGACCTCTGAACAAAGATAATTTAGTTACAAATATATTATATTAAAAAAGTGAGAGTAAAAACTAGATTAGATTATAATGAATGCTAATTCCAAACCACCAACACACTTAAAGCCAATGACAGAAAACTACAAAATATCTTATTAAAATTGAAATATAATTCAAATTCAATACTCATTTACTATCCTTAATATCAGCCAGGTTTATACTATTTCAAGTAAATCATATTATCAATGACTATCCTCAGTACTGTCAGAAGCAACCCCAATAGAGGATTTACCACATTTAATACTCCGTGAATTCTAGAGCGACAATATTCTCCTTTAAATACATGGAACACACTTTTGGCACACTTGATTCATCAATTTTCTTCTCATATTATAAACTGACCTCCTTTCTTAAGTCCCAAAGGATTCTTATTTATTTCTGCTTTTAAACTTACATCCTCAAAATAAACTAAGAAAACATGTTGCTAACGGTTACACATAAAGTGTTTAGCTTGAAAGCAATCAGATAATTTTATTCAACAATGTGAGAATTATCAAAATAAATAGCACATAACTTACTAACTAATAGCAATAACTTACAGCCTGAACATTGGCAAATCTACTTCCATATAGAAATCAATTATAAAGTCAACTATAGGTGGTAGCCAACCGGTGGGTACTACGGGCCATATTTTGTGGGCATGTGCAAAAATGAAAATTTGGCAACAGGTCCAAACACTGATAAAATGCTATTAATCATTGCTTTCAGAATCATTTGACAGATGTTTCAATAGCTTTCACGAAGATACACACATCTTGCTAACCATTAAAATCAAATATACGTTTCTTCTCGTTTCAAAAGCAAACTGATTAGTACATTGAGAGGTTTAAAATGATTTTTTTTACAAAGTGCGGTGAAACTAAAAGTCTTGAATTCTGAAAAAATGTTAAAGAAATAGTGCCTTTGATAAGGAAAAGTTTATCAAGCGTGTTTTTTGAAGTCATTTAGGCAATACTGACTATATCATTTTGTGATTATGTTTGCGTTTAGTGTTGTAAAATATACAATCGTTCAGGTTACTTTTCTGAAAAAAAAATGGATCAGGTTACTTTTTTAGAAATGGATCATGTACAAGTCCATCAATCTACCTTGTATGGTCTCTTCAAAATCATCAAAATCTTCACTAGGAATTTGAGTTGAAAACACAGATTCAAATGCTTCCTCCATCTGGTGGCTGACTGCGTCTGCTGATAAAATATAAAACAAAGGATGAACCGATTGTTATGAAGACATCAACTTGGCACTAAGAATCTGAATAACACGTGGCATATTTACTATTATTAACTGACAGTAACAATTTCTATGGTAATGGGATTACAGATCCTACTGTAAATTGCTTTTAAATAAAACCGTGGTGATACCAATATTATTCTTTATAACTATATACAATAGTACAAAAGATATGAACCGAGCTAAAATATATATATGTATATGTAATTTACATTCATCCAATATTTTATGCAGCATTCCTATGAAATATACAGTGTCCATTACAAAAGGTCAAACAGTCAAAGAGGTGCAACCTAAAACATGAACTTGGGTCAAGCGACGCTGTAGCAGAGCCACATGCGTACAGCACAGCATCCTTCATAAAGATGTAATTATTATGTCACTACTCATGTTATATGGTGCGCACAAGATTTGGGTGACTTGTGCTAAATAAGGGATTTTTGTCACCAGCAAGACAATGTGGACTGCAACCACCAACATATTGGGACTTACATTCCCCGGTATCATCAGTATCCACTAGTTTTAAAAGGCTCACATTTGTTTATCCTTAATATAAAATATATGAAGTCCCCTACCCGCAACTCTTGCATCTGTTCCTGCCAAAGTCTGAGAGTACAGAATATTTTAACTGAAACTCACAAAGCACTTGACATTAAAATCTACTCACACTCAATATTCTCTATCAGCCACTTTCCAGTATTATGGTAATATTACGTCTACAAGATGAATCTTAAATGGGAATTTATTTATCACTTAACTAATTCAGATACATCAATTATAACTCACCAGATATGTCAAGCTAAATGGATTGTAAACTACACACCCATTAGAAGGACAACAATACAACAACTATCATCTAATGTTCTGCTAACTGGTTCTCACGACAAAGAACGTGGTTCAGAAAGAACTGTCTCAAAAGACCCTTTAAGCAGGAATTTAAATAGAAAGATAAACTAAACGTAGGTTCAAAAAAGAGGTCAAATGCCACAGTCCTACTTAGCAACAGATATTTATGTTGCAAATACTAGACTATTCACTATCAACTGTATGGTTATACTGGGAAAACTACAGCTTGAGGCATCTTTATTGTTTTCTTAATGTGTTTGTTTGAGTATATCAGAAAGGACCATGTATGCTTGAAGAAGGTCATTTGTTGAGTCAAACCGTTGTTTGCTATATCCTCAAATAATGGGATCTTATTCATCAAATTGTAAAGGCCTCTTCAAACAGCAAATAATTAACCTATTGATAACAAGGAGGTATTCCTCCTTCTGTCTGCCAAAAACATAATTTAGAGCATCTTGTAAAATATGTGCTCTAAATAATTTCTTTGATTTCTTTAAATCACTTTATCAACTCTTCATTAAAAATGTCTAAATAACATAGATTATTTTTCCCCCCACATTCAAATATAAAAACAAATTCTAATAAAAGATTTAGTTGAGCATTCCGTTTTCTCAACATCAAGGGCATTATTCACTAAACTCTGATTTGTAGTGAATTGAAAACATAAATGGCAAAATTTACACAATAATATCTGATTTCTGACTATTGCTGTGTTGAAAGATTTTTCCAAAGCAACTTTTCCGCCATTCGGATTTCAATTTGCAACATTTCTAAATTTACTGAATAAACCCACAAATGTTGTTTTGTCTATTAATTGTGTGCAGACAACTGACAAGGAAATGACAATAAAAACTGCATGTGAAAAGTGTAACATGCATGTATAAATACTAAAACTACATCCTGCATCCTGCCAAAAAAACACAAATAAAGATACAGTTGCAAGAAAAAGTATGTGATTGGACTCCAGTTGGCTGACATCTCACTCCAATCAGCTCTTGGAGATGTCATTAGTCTAGGGGTTCACATACCTTTTCCACCTGCACTGTGAATGTTTACATGGTGTGTTCAATAAAAACATGGCAACATTTCATTCTTTGTGTGTTATTAGTTTAAGCAGACTGTGATTGTCTATTGTTGTGACTTAGATGATGATCAGATCACATTTTATGATCAATTTGTGCAGAAATCCATATCATTCCAAAGGGTTCACATACTTTTTCTTGCAACTGTAATTATTATAACAGGAGTTATATATATATATATATATATATATATATATATATATATATATATAATTTGGAAATGTCACTTATTTACTTTTTTGCCCAGCCCAATATCTTTTAAAAGTAATTTATGAGGGTTTTTTTTTTTAATTATTAGGTTTTTTTTTTGTCTTTTTTTAATCTACATTATATAAATGGTTGTCCTGGCAGAACAAGAGCATATAGCTATAAGTCCTACAGAGGTGTTCAATACTTACATCTCCTGCGATCCTCTCCCCACTAAATACGTCACTAGTGTTTAGTGGGGTAAAAAAGCAATTTTTAGAGAAAAAGCAGTTTTACATGTCATGTAAAAAAAAACAAAAAAACTTTAATTAGTATAGCTCTAAAATCTGTGGCGTACTCACTAGAAGCAAGCCAAGCTAAACACGAATAAATTATTCAGAACGTGGATGCATTTTCAGCCAACTCAATCCTAGGCACTGAAAAACTTTGCAGAGATATCTTTAGTTCAATTTCATATATTTCTGTGGAGTTCGCAAGATGGAAACTGGATTTTGAAATATCAGATTATAGCAGAAAGTACTCCAAAAGACCATATCTTTGAGTTAGTTTAGTGTATTTTGCATCCAATGCAACAGAGCCAATGGCACCTAAGCAGCCAAGATAAATTGAGCTTCAACGGTCTGGGTAAGTGTTGATGATTCCCAAAACATTCATACATTTTATATCAACTCGACTTTTACTGAATAAATTAAACTCTGTGTATTGTCTTTCAAAAACTCAGCAGTTTTAATGGCAGAAAAAGAGGGAAAGAGAAAAAGAAAAGAGGTAGAGTGTAATTGATGTCATAGATGCCACAGAACGGTTCCCAAAACAAGTAGGTTGAAACATTTTGTAGTGGTACAAAGTGGAGTGTTTAATGTTTAAGGAGTTATATCGTAAGTAATTATTACCATCAGCTACAACATTAAAACCACCTGCCTAATATCATGTAGGTTTTCTTTGTGTTGCCAAACCAGCTCTGATGCGTCAAGGCATGGACTCCCAAGACCACTGAACATGTCCTGTGGTATCTGATACAAAGACATTAATAGCAGAACCTTCAAGTCCTGCAAAGTATTGCTGCAATGGATGTGATTTGTTGTTTCAGCACATCCCACAGATGCTCAATTGAGATCTGGGGTATTTGAAGCCCAATGTAACACATTTGCGTTCCAAATTGACTAAACTGGAAGTAGACGCCAAGCGGGATATTTAAAAGGAAGGAAGACCAAGAAGACACACAGCCAACTGAGGAAGCCCGTTTGAAAGGGCGAAACGCGTTTTGGACAGTAATTGGACGATTCAGTCACCCAGCGACACTAAACCTGGTATTTATTTATATTTTATATTCTTTACTTATATTTTATTTTATGTTTTCAAATGGATTACCAATAAAGCATCTCCTTTTCGAAAACTCACCTGTGGTATCTTGTATACATGCACCTGATATCTGGAATATTGGTTAATACTTACGATCCTGAGGAGTAAAGCAGCTCAGACTCCAAGGAAGGAGACCAAAGAGGGGACTGGACATCCTTAAAGTGTCCACAGGCGTTTACCATCCGAGTCATATCAGATTTATGACTCCTGACTTGTAAATGATATTCCATATGTTCATATTATAGATTATTTGTATTACAACAATATTGCACTATTGTCTTGTACTCATATGATTACAGATATATACTGAACGCCCATGTAAGATGCTCCACCTTATGTATGTATGTTTCTTTTGTATTCTATAGAAGTGGTTTAGGGGATACCACTTAAGGTGTTTTTTGAGCTTCACTCACACTTACTGACTCCATATTGTGCACCTATTTGTCAATGTAACACATTGAACTGTTTATCACGTTCCTCAAACCTCAGTCTTTGCAATGTGGCAGGGTGACTTATCCTGTTGAAAGATGCCACTGCCATCAGGGAACATCATTACCATGAAGGGGTTAATTGGTCTGCAACAATCTTTAGGTAGGCGGTACGTGTCAAAATTACATCCACATGAATGCCAGGACCCAAGGTTTCCCAGCAGAACATTGCCCAGTGCATAAAACTGCCTCTGCCGGCCTGCCTTCTTCCCATAGTGCATCCTGCTGCCATCTCTTCCCCAGGTAAACAACGCACACGGCCATCCACTTGATTTAAAAGAAAACATGATTCATCAGACCAGGCAAACTCCTTCCATTGGTCTTGACGCTCATGTCCCCATTGATAGCGCATTCAGTGGTGGACAGGAGTCATCATTGACACTCTGACCAGTCTGCAGCTATGCAGTCCCATATGTAATAAACTGCTTCCTTCTACTACTTTTGATATGCACTAACCACTGCATACCGGGAACACCCCACAAGACTTGCCATTTTAGAGATACCCTGACCCAGTCGTCTAGCGATCACTATATGGCCCTAGTCAAAGTCACTCAGATCTTTTCACTTGCCAATTTTTCCTGCTTCCAACATGTAAAAGTCAAGACTGAGTGTGAATGAGATCAGAAATTTAACGGGCTGTGAAAAAATTTAATGAAGAACGGTACCTCCTGGTTGCTTTCACCTCTAGCCCCTGTATCTTGATCAGGAGTACAAATCAAAATGCAGAATACAAGAAAAAATAAGAGCAACGCTACTAGGATATGCTGTGTGCACAAAGTGCTTCAATAGTGATTTATTGGAAGGACATGCAAAGTGTTGGGTTTTTTTTTGTCACATGGAACATAGAAAATGTGAATTTGATAAACTAAGGCTTTTCCCTGCAATATCCATCAGTATGACCTGCCTGGCATATGTGAGCATTCACAGAGATCTGCAGTCCATTGGCAAATGTCCCAGTGGAGCAGTCTAGGCCTGGAGAGCATTTTGATTGCCACCAGTTCATAAATGAACCAACAGAATGCTGGGCTAGAAACGGCCTGGAGAATTCCTGCTGACTGCCCAGTCCTGCAGTACTCTACCAAAAGACATCCCAATGTACATGCTCCTATTGTTATCCACAGAAGAGATGTGTGAGGCTGCAGCAGCCCATATCCCACTTGCCAGCCCTCCTATTCTAGTAGCCTATAACCACCTGCTTTAGTGCCACATGCTACTGTGTATCACCATACTATTTAGGTACAATGTTTAGCTACATATGCTTTAGACTCACATATTAGTGTACACTGTTAGGATGATTGGCAAAATTCTAAATTGTAAATCACAACTGTTTCTTGACCTCTCCCACTCCTCCCCCCATGCTTGCCACTCCTAGCTGTAAATACCTTGATATAACTGTTTATCTCTACTCCCTCCCTAGGCCCATTTTCCATACCATCCCTACTGCAAGCCCCTACAATTCTACTCGGCTCAGCCCACCCACACCTCCTCCCGCCCACCCAGGTTCCCCCTAAATTTATAGCATGCTCCTCCAGCTGTTTAAAATTCTCACTCACTTACCTCTTCATTCCCTCTATATTCTACCAATAGCTGCAACTCTCTGTTTCCTTATTTAGCCATCACTTCCAAAATTCCCCTGCTACCTCGTCTCAAATCCCCACGGTATCCTGTAGATTGTAATCTACCTATGCACTTTGTATAAAAGAGCTTAAATGGCAAGATTTCAGCTTACGGGCAGGGCCCTCTTTACCTTTTGTCTGTATATATTGTATGTTCTCCACTAATTGTGCAGCGCTGCGCTTTATAAATACCAGTAATAAATAAGAAAAAATAAACAAGAGAATCACAGAGACACAACATACAGACTCTCCTTAAACAGACACAAGAGGATTACAATGCTCACATTCACCGGACAAACGGTAACCATCCAGACAACAGATACCACGCTGTAATTTCTTAAAGGGACACTCCAGTGCCAGGAAAACAAATCGTTTTCCTGGCACTGCAGGTCCCCTCTCCTTCCCACCCCCCATCCCATGTTGTTGAAGGGGTGAAAACCCACTCAGTGACTTACCTGAGACCACCGGCGATGTCCCTCGGCGGTGGTTTAGGGTCCGCCCACGCTCGTCCCCCGCCGACGTCAGCCGGCAGGGGAGACCGATTGTGCATGTGTGGCCGCCGGCGGAAGGAGACCTAATGCGCATGCGCGGCAATGCTGCACACGCGCATTAGACCTCCCCATAGGAAAGCATTGAAAATGCTTTCAATGCTTTCCTATGGGGATTTTAGCGACGCTGAAGGTCCTCACATAGCGTGAGGACGTCCAGCGACGCTTTAGCACAGAAAACCTGTGCTAGAAACCAGGAAGAAACCAGGAAGTGCCCTCTAGTGGCTGTCTAGTAGACAGCCACTAGAGGAGGAGTTAACCCTGCAAGGTAATTATTGCAGTTTATAAAAACTGCAATAATTACACTTGCAGGGTTAAGGGTAGTGGGAGTTGCCACCCAGACCACTCCAATGGGCAGAAGTGGTATGGGTGCCTGGAGTGTCCCTTTAAAACAGACCCTGACAATTTTCTCTAGTTATGCTGAAAATACAAATTTTTTTTTTAGACCACAAATGAACTTCCCTTGTATACTCCATATTCCCTCTCCATACAGATACTGCGTCATAACTTACTATTACATACCTTACTTAATATTCACTCTACATACAATCCAAAAAATGTCGCCATAGGAATGCCTGAATTCCAGCCTTATACTAAATTAAATCAAAATGGTGAGCTCACGCCCAGGCAGAAAAAAAAAATTAATGCAAAAAAGTAGATAAACTCATCCATTACGGTGTTAAATCTTAAAGTATTTCCAAGTCCTGGTGAACTTTTAGGTTTTATTCTACAGTAGTAGAATGAAGAGCATGTATCCTCTTCATATAACCATTTATCTTCATCCATTTTCTAGCACCCACTGCATCCTCCCATTCTCAATGTGTTTTACATGTGTTAAATTTTGCCTTGCTTCCTTTCTAAATTACCAGAGATAAAGAAAATATTAAATTCCTATCTTATCATCAAAGAGCTGGATTAATAGTGCATGAGACAAATTATTTCCATATCCCTAATATTCATAAATTGTAACCTTAGTTTAAAGCTGTCATAATTAATTTCAGCTGCCATACTTCTGCAATCTGTGGAAAAAAAATATATTAAAGGGACCCTCTAGAGACACCATAACCAATAAGTTTTGCATTAGCATTTTATGTGTTCATATTAAAATTAGTGATCTCGCACCCAAATCCTACACAAAGTATATAATTCGGAAGATACACAAAGTACCTAAAGTTATAAAATTTTGATTTAAATTCACATCATTCAGTAACTTTTATGCAAGCAAACAATAATTTTAAGTACTATATGCCAACTTGTAGCACTAGCGGGTCAACGGTTAAGAATCCTTAAAGGCACATGGGTTAAATATGTAGCGGCTGGCCAGCACTTTCCCTCACTGAAAAAGTAATAAATACATTTTTTTTTTTTTTTTTTTTAACTTTGATATTTGTCATGGAGTACCGGGAGTAAGGGGCGCATCATGCCTACTCACAAGTCCGTCAATCTCCTCTCTGGCAGAGGCTCTACGTAGGGAACCATGCAGCGTATTGCATAGAATTCCCCATGGCGTCCTGACGGATCCTCCTCCATGCATTCGAGTACTCAGGGACTTGCCCCAGACCTCGGGGGGAATAGTGGGTGTAAAGAACCTGTACCTCAAAAACACTATAATCAATGACAGAAACTATATCCCTACTTCTAGCCCCACTCAACTATGTGTACCCCAAATCAGCGACACCTTTCTCATGCCCCACTGCCCATTCCAGAGAGCTAGAGTAAGCTAGCATCACCATCTAGAGCTACTGGCGTTACCTCTGGAACTCCAGGTCGGCTACAATCAACACCCCACCCCAGTCATAATTGCCTTTTGTTTTCGACCCCTTCCCAACAAGCTAAAAGGGTGCTTTTAGAAGGGAAGCTACCATCCACCAGGGAGACCAAATCGCTCCCTATGAGCAGCAGGGATCTCCGATGCCTTGCAGCAGCTAGAGCTCCCATTAAATGACCAGCATATGGCCACAAACACATGGAACTATTTTCAGTCTGAACTGTCGTAGCGGCCGGATAGAACTTTAACCCAATTGCGTTTGGAGAATACATCATGGATCTGTGCACTATTTTTACAGAATGGGCGCTCGGCTCAGACCTCTCCAGGGACATATGATATGTGGGTGTGCAATGTTGTTTCAGAAATGTTTTCTATGTTGCGCTCTCTGTATTCGGGAGATAATTAGTTTAACCGAGAGCGGACACAATGATCACTTATCTCCCAGACTAAGAGGCGCCTGAGCGGGCTGAATAGAGACCTCATGCTTGGGGTCTTTTATTGGAAAAAAACCGGTTGTTTTATTGGAAAAGGACACAATATTCACTATTCAGCTACTACGGAGGTAACGCCCCAGAGTAACGGAGCTTCTGTATTGGGTACAGAAGCTCCGTTACAGTGGTTAGAGTGCTGAGGCGGGCTGGAAGTCCAGCATGGTGCCCTGACCATAAAGTTGCCTTTGGCGCATTCAAATCGGGGAGGTTGATTTACTCCAGACTCCACGCTATGGGAGTGTCATCTCTCCCATTTCCCTATTTAAACACGGTCTACTCAAAGCTCATTGCTCATGTGCATATTTTCATTGGTGGTATATATACTAAATTGTTGGGGGGTTGTTTGAGTTATATATATTTTTTTTAATGGAGAGTTCCTTTGATGTGTTTTAATGTACTAAATGTCAACACCAACCTGTGGAAGTCTATGACTGTGGTCTATGACTCTGCTGGAATGCTAGAATATTCAGTTTACTTTGTCTGTATTTGACAGTTTTATTTTCCCACAGGATGTCACCCGATGCATTGATATAGATGCTTTGATCTCTTTGGACTGTACAAAACTGAATTTAAAGAACTGTCATATGTCTTCTGTTCATGTTTTATAGTTTATTCATACCTTTAGTGCATATGGTCTTTTGAAATATCAAGTAGGAGTGTATAAAATAAACTTTCCTCTGTCAGATGAATGTATGAGTTATTTGAAGTGTAATTTCAAACAGGCTGATATTCATATTTGCCTGCACTTAAAGGGAATTCTAAATTTACAAAAATATTTATTATTATGTTAAATGTGTTCTTTCAATGTTTTAGATTGAGGGCCTCCCTACTTTAACCAAAAAATGCATTTAAACTTACCTGCAATTCAGCACTGGCAGGGATATTTAAAATTCAAAGTGAATTTCAAATTTAAGTCCAATATAGATGAACTGGAAAATTATCTAAGCTATGATTCCAGTTCAGCTATTTTGGTATTCAATTTGAAATTAATTTTTAATTCTTACTCTGTGGAATAATCTTGCCACTGCACCCAGATCGACAGACTGTTAGATAATCAATACTGATCATCTCAGTCCAGTCCAATGCTTCCCAAATAGAAGCACTGGAGATCTACAGCACATGCATGGCACTTGCCACGCTGTGCCAATCCAATGATTTTTTTTTAGCAGTGCTCAGTGTTATCATGTGGTGTGTAATTGTATTCTAAAACTTACACTCTTCTTCATTCAGTTGTGGAGTCAATGCGAAAAACTTGTTTGTGTTTAGAATCTCTTCATTGCTTTGCACAGATATGTGTTTTGATACAAGCTGAGAAAATAAAAGACAAAATGAAATGAAAAAAGAATATTATATATTAAAAGCACATATTAACTGGTTATAGGCCAAAACAAAAGGCAATGTACACATATTTTCTAAACTATAATAGCCTGTATTTTAAAATCTGATTCAATATACTATATTGAAATATATGACATATTGATATAATATTATTTAACTCAAATGTTATGTTTGTGACTGTGATTACAACTTGAAATTAAATAAACAGATCTAAAAAAATACTTTGAGAAAGCCTGTCAACAAGGTGAAACGAAATAGTGTGTTACTCTTTTATGATTTTCCATTTTATTTCAATAAAATTAATGTGTTTTATATACCTGATTTTGGACCATCCGGATTTTAATCATAAGATTGTACCATAAAATTTCTTGGTGGGGATTATACCACCTATGCCATACAGGTTAAGCAAATACGGGTAAGTTTTTCTCTCCACTTGTGAGTACATCTCCTTTTATTACTTTTACCTGTTTTAACAGTGAACAATATATTTTTATTTCTGTTTTATTTATATATCTACAGTGAGAATTTGCTGCTATGTAAACCAATAGAGTGGGAACCCCTGTATACCTAAGTGTGTGGACTACAACACTACAGACACATCACTGAGAGCCAATAGTAGACTCAGTAAATTGTGAGAGTCCATCTACATAAATACTTTTTATTCTGGTGTATTGAACATACTACACTATATTGATTCTTTCTGTTTATGCTCTGTTCCATCCGGAGTTCCCTCATTGTATAACGACACCAAGTATATCCACAGGCGGGGATTGTACCACCCAGGTGCATGCATTTGGAACTAATTATCAGTCAAGGAAACTGTAAGTGCATTACTTTTTATTTAATTTTCCTGAACTTTAAGATGCTACACTATATTTATCCTCCTTTCTTTTACATTTTCGTAAAAAAATTACAATTTGCTAATTGGACAATTAACTAAAATTTACTGAAAAAACCTGTAGGAGTTTACAACATACCTGTTTTTTTACAATTGGGTACTGGATACAGCACATAGATCTTCATTAAATGTTATAAAAAATGAATTAAGTAACCTGTGCATGGATTATATCAGATAATTTATGTAATACACAGTTATAGATGCATATATTTAACATGGGTGTCATAACCTTTCCATTACTGAATCCGACTTGGTCAGAATTATAAAGCAAAATATATGTCTTTGGCTGAGTTTTACTGAAGTATTTGCTAATTTTATCACATGACAGGAGGCTTCATATTTGCATAACTCTCTTTACTAAAACTCCCAGCAGCACAGATCATAAGAGAACAACCAATCAATAAAACACTTCAATGTTATACAAAAGGACCTGTCAAACACATCACTTCCTCTTTCTATACAGGTCAGAGTATTTTGTCCTTCTGACTGTTTATTGTTACTTGTCTGATTTATTCTGTATTCTGTGTAATGATTCATAGGTATTTAAGATTGTTTTATTAACTGATATATCTTTCTACAGTTTGAAGATTGTTTTATTAGGTAAACTGATTTAGAAGTTTTATTCGCACATTGTGTGTTATTCCACTTTAAACAAAAGTTGCTATATTTGTATTATATAGGTATTTACCCTGCTGTTCTTGTTAGCTTGTCCCCACTACAGTTCTGCTCATACTTTTCCCCCCTTTTTACTTGTTTTTTACAGCCCTCTTTGAGGCCTACTCCCTCTCTCCCTTCTCTCCTGGAGCCTTGGACTGTCCTAGCCCTTTGCCCCTTGCGCGGATCATGGCCATTAGCGCCACAATCGTGCTCTTTTCAGCCTATTTTTACTTCTTCGAGGTTAGCTGAGAGTGTGTGTGTAACGGATCGCCTGGCACCCCGACTGGGTACCTCCGTTGAAGGATGCTCCTAGCGCTTCCTGAGGATTCCAAGCACTCTGGCAGACACCACAACCACCGAACCGGAGAAGCATATGAATCCTCTCAAGCATATGAATGCTGTAGACCGTTGAATAGGAACCATACGAATAGGTTTACTCTCCTAGCAGTCAAACTGGAACAGCATACAGTAAATCCTTCCCCCAATAATGAGACGACACTTCACTTTGAGGGTTAAAACAGGAACTCCCTGTACTGTCACATACAGTCTCTTTTATTCCCAATCCACAAACATAGTACAGCCCACAGGGCGTTACAAAACAACCAATCACATCATTACATCCCACATATTCCCTCCCTATTCCTGAGAGGAAACTCAATTACACATACAGTTAAAACATACTTTCTACCCAACTTTCATAACTCTAAAACCATACATCACATTCACATAAAATTACATATTCACAATCAATCCATTCAGGGGAACAACATATTCAAAAATGGCACAAATCAGACAAGGGGTTCAAAAGTTAGTAAAAAGTCCTTTGTGACTAAATGAAGCATGGCTTTCTGGCCCAAACCAGTTTCAGAGTCTTCTATCCTGGAGATAAGTAATTCAATTATCTCCCAGGACAGACACAAGACTCCATTAAGCACATGGTTGCAAAAAGACACAAAACACTTTAAAATACATAAAGTCACCTTTTCACATAACACACAGACATTTCACATATCCCCAGATAGCTGGGATCTGAGCGCACAAAACTACTGAAGAGCGCTCAGATCCTATTCACACAGTTCAATTGCTATGGAGCCGAAGTCTTTAACTACACAAATGGGCTCCATGGCATAGCTATCTGGGTTAACACATTCTCATAAAGTCTGGTCCATAGTCCAAAGGCAAGAGGCGGGCAAGCAGCCCCCTCCAAGGACACGTGGCGAGGCCGGTTTCGCCACATTTCTCCCCTTTACCATCCAGACTAACAGGGTATCTGACCTCCTGCCGGTCAGTGCCCTGGTTAGTCCAGCAACCCACCCACGAAGCACAAACAGCAATACAGCCCACCCACAATAACTGGTTACTACACCTGGATAAAATAGCAACTTGTCCATGTCCAGGTGCCTCACCACGGCTGTGCGGGGGGCTGGTAGACTGCCTTGGTGGGTTGCTGAGTGGGCAGAGACCAGCGGTACTCTGCCCGGGTGCCAGCGCTACCACTGAAGTAGCCTGGTTGGAGCCTGGTTGTGGGAGGGGGAGACCGACTGTCTCCCCTCTGGATACACTGCTCTGTGGCTGGGGGACAGGACCGACCGTCCCTACCCCTGGTGCTGCAAGTGCAGAGACTACGGTCCCATCTGCATAGTTGTGGGGCTTAACATCTCCCCTTGGTGGGTTAGGCTGCCGCTGGAGAGAGGGTGTAACAAGCTCCTCTCTCTGAACTGTAGACTGCCGCTGGGGAGAGGGGGTAACCTGCTCCTCTCCCTGACACTCTCTTTGCTGGTGGAGAGGGGGACCAACTGTCTCCCCTTTCAATATTTTGTCCTGCGGCTGGGGTGCGAGACAGACGGTCTCTGCTTCCTGGGGTACACACTGCCGCTGGGGAGGAAGGACGGCACCTTCAGCTCCCTGGGGTACACACTGCCGCTGGGGAGGAAGGACGGCACCTTCAGCTCCCTGGGGTACAAACTGCCGCTGGGGAGGAAGGACGCCACCTTCTGCTCCCTGGGATACACACTGCCACTGGGGAGGAAGGACGACCCCTTCGGCTCCCTGGGACTCACACTGCCGCTGGAGATCTGGGCCGACCGCCCAGCATCCCTGTAGGGCCGGTAGAGAGACCGCCGTCCCATCTCCACCTGCCATCTGTGGGTCTTCCCAGGACCAGTCTGTGAGGTCCCTCAACATTTGCGAGTAAGGACCACCTGCTTCCGCACCTGGCAACTCTGGCTGCTGCTGGGGATCTGGGCCGGTCCCATCTCCACCTGCCTGTTGTGGTTCCTCACAGGACCAGTCTATGAGGACCCCTACTTCGGGTTCCTGCGGCCGCCTCAGGGGGAGACGGCTAGCCTCCTCGGATGCAGCCTCTACTCGGCTGCTGTAACACTCCTTCCGCTGAGCATACTCTCTCTCTTTCGCCAGCCGGAATTCTCGGGCCAGCCTTGTGTTTCGCTCGGCCGTGACCTGGTTCCAGATCACCCGGCGTACCTCCATGGGTAAATCATCCCCATACTGGGCCACTCGCTGCCTCACCTCGGCCATCCAATCATCGCCAGAGCCTTCCATACTTGTCTGCTCCAAGTCGCTGGATACCTCTGCTCCCAGGGGCGCTGTACGTGTGCTAGCGTTGCCCTTAATTTGTAACTCCACGAACTGTGTCTCTGAGCTGCTTTACCTCGCACTAGGACGCCATCCCACCGCTTGCCACCAATGTAACGGATCGCCTGGCACCCCGACTGGGTACCTCCGTTGAAGGATGCTCCTAGCACTTCCTGAGGATTCCAAGCACTCTGGCAGACACCACAACCACCGAACCGGAGAAGCATATGAATCCTCTCAAGCATTTGAATGCTGTAGACCGTTGAATAGGAACCATACGAATAGGTTTACTCTCCTAGCAGTCAAACTGGAACAGCATACAGTAAATCCTTTCCCCAATAATGAGACGACACTTCACTTTGAGGGTTAAAACAGGAACTCAGGTGCTGGCACACCCAGCTTGGTTTTTATTACAGTCTTGCAAATACAGGACCGCCCACAGGGAGGTATAAAACAACCAATCACATCACAGTTACATCCCACATATTCCCTCCCCTTATCCTGAGAGGAAACTCAATTATACATACAGTTAAAACATACTTTCTACCCAGCTTTCCTTACTCAAAACCATACATCCCACATTCACATAAAATTACATATATTTCACAATCAATCCATTCAGGGGAACAACATATTCAAAAATGGCACAAATCAGACAAGGGGTTCAAAAGTTAGTAAAAAGTCCTTTGTGACTAAATGAAGGCATGGCTTTCTGGCCCAAACCAGTTTCAGAGTCTTCTATCCTGGAGATAAGTAATTCAATTATCTCCCAGGACGAACAAGACTCCATTAAGCACATGGTTGCAAAAAGACACAAAACACTTTAAAATACATAAAGTCACCTTTACACATAAAACACAGATTTCACATATCCCAGATAGCTGGGATCTGAGCGCACAAAACTACCGAATAGCGCTCAGATCCCTATTCACAGTTCAATTGCCATGGAGCCAAAGTCTTTAACTACACGAATGGGCTCCATGGCATAGCTATCTGGGTTAACACATTCACATAAAGTCTGGTCCATAGTCCAAAGGCAAGAGGCGGGCAAGCAGCCCCCTCCAAGGACACGTGGCGAGGCCGGTTTCGCCACACCCGTCAACAGGGAACTTAAAATCGAAGACCTGCAATCATTGCAGGGTTCTTATACGTCACTATGCGCACTATCCCACTGGGCAGTTCATTCATTTACTGGCACGCTCGCTATCAGGTCTGCCTGACGGAGATCGGGTTATTAGATCCTCTGGCAAGGCAGACCTTGGTCAGGTGGGGGGAGTCATTAGAGCTCAAAACTGGGTTTCTGTGTTCATCCCGCCTAGTTCCGACCAACTCCCAATCTTTTGTACAGATGAAACCACTATCCTGGATTGCAGCATTTTCATAACTAATACGGATTACCGACCAAGAGACACTCTGTCTAGTACCTCACCCAACTGACAAACACACGAGCATAATCCGCATTCTAGCGTCCCCATCTGGTCGCCCTGCTATTGGGGCTCGACAACAAGTTATTACCTATAGCGTCATTCGCTTGCACGAAGAATACATACGACAGATGTGACATTCTTACAAGACTCAGTGGAACACAACATCCACAGGCATACCGTTCAAACTGTAGTCTATTCTGCCATTTTTTGCCACCTTTCATTCAAACGGTCATACAACACTATCACACTATACCAATCAGACATACAACAACACATTTCTGACAAGCCTTTAAAACTATACCCAGTCTTCTAAAATGCTTAACATAAAATATCAAGGTATAAATAATTGGTTCATCACTCCACAATAACATACATCCATAGATGGGAATTCCAGGCAGTGTCAGACTCCAAAGACAGCATCCGTACCACACAAACTCGGTCTTAAACCTCTGTGCCTTTAATCTTCCAAGGATTCCGGAGCCCTACAACTTCATGATCACAGCTAATCAGACTGACAGATCACGTCTCCTCAAGGAAGATTTAATAAGGTACAGACACTACCTCATGTCACACCAACATTCAAACGAGACAATCAAGACACTTGATCTACTAAATAATCTACTAACTACTTCTAAATGCGGTTCTACATTCATATTCCTTGCATTAGATTAGGTTGGGACCACTGACTCCTATTTAGGACATCCATTCACTAAGTACGGAATCCAGTATCAGTACGCCGGTACACATAATAAATTAGGGTCACTGGAAATCTGCTACGTTATACAAAAACATTCCACAACGGATAAGAGGTAAGGCAAACAAATCTTATGGGATAATAATATTGCAATAAGTTTTCTTGCTTTTCCTTTTGCCCTCTTTTACAGGCCTACCCCCTACGTCGGTTCCGGCACACCACGCCGACTTAATTCCAATCACAAGGTATTTCACTATACGATATTAACTGACCACAAGTTTAAGGCCGAAGGCCTGTATTTGTGGGAGGAGTTAGCATTCCTATATAAACGCTACTCCCCCCCCCCTTCCTACCTTGCCGTACGCACGCTGTTCACCCCACCCACCTCTCCCTCTTATACAATCCATGCGGAGGGCCCTCTTTTACAGGCCTACCCCCAACGTCGGTTCCGGCACACCATGCCGACTTAATTCCAATCACAAGGTATTTCACTATACGATATGAACCGACCAGAAATATAGTTTACCTATTCTTAGTTGTGTTCTCTCTGGTAAACTGAGACAACAATAAACACATACGGCTCTCTGATTGAACCGTTCATTTCTTTTAAAACTTAGAGTACTATGGTTATCTCAGCTGAACAATAAAAGGTTACTGCATTACTAAAACAATATAAAAGGAAAGAATATGTTTGTTTTTAGACCCACTGGTACTGAGAAGCAAGCAAAGTTACAATGTAACCATTTAACAAACACTGAATAACATTTAGCTGTATATAATACCAAACCTACAAAATCTGTCTTCATAAAGCAATCCTATTTTTTGGAGGGGTGGGGGGGAGCAAGGCTCTCGTGCTTCCTGTATCATAATGATTTTACCCCAGGCCTACTTGTAATCACTTATTTTATAAATACTCCAGCGGTCAGGAAAATGTATAAAGACATTCAGACACCGGGAGCTATATAGAAGCAGTTCAGATAACAGCTATTTTTGATGACAAACCAGCTTTAAGAGGTTTCAATAGCCTTGTTTTGGCTGACCAAAGTTGAAGTCAATGCCCCTCCTATTAGGTCAGTACCTAATCCTGCCTGTGTAATAGAAAGCTAGTTTGGAACAGTGTTACCAAATCAGTCCAACGGCAATGTATGCAGAGCATTTCTTTAAATTGACCTTGATTAACCGTTATTTACTAGAATAAGAAGATTTACCATTAGCCAATGGTCATGACTCGTTTTTGCATCACTAAAATTTTAAATATTCTTTTTTTGATAGCGCAGTTTAATCAAATAATAATGTACTTATATCAGTTGGTAACATGGTAAGAACAGGGCCAAACATCTAGAAAGAACATTTTAAAATGTAATAATCAAAAGGAACACTATAGGGTCAGGAATACAAACGTGTATTCCTGACCCTTTCGTGTTAAAAACGACATCTAGGGGGCGGATCCCTGAACTCCGAGCAAGCTATACATGGTACGCCGGAGCTCCCGACTATTTGGCTGAAATAAATGCTTTAACCCGGTGAAAAAGGCTGCCATGCACACCTAAACGTGTCATCAGATCAGGGGAACCCAGGCAAGCTGACTGATACCTTACCCGTATGCTTCTCCTACCGAGATCCTGGGAACCTTGCTGAGGCCTAACTGGAGCGGAGCTGAGTGGAAGCAGCCGATCTTCTTGTGCTTCGGGCCGGGGTCTGAACTTGTGTCACTCCTACCACCCCCCCCCCCATACCTCTGGACCGGTGGGTTCATCCCGGTCCCCCTAAGGCAACTCAGAGACTCTGCTAATACTTACTATAATATACAGACTACACTGCCTCACTCTTGGCGCTCCAAAGTGGGGAATGCCTGTCCCTTGCAGCCTCATGGTGAGGACCTCAAGCAACGGACACCATTTGACACCACAGCAGACTCCCTGAGGACACTCGACAAACTCTTTCAGTGTTTCTGGCTGAACCTGCAGCACCGACTCTCAAGAGACCCACAGAGTGGGAAGCCCGCTCGTCCCCCCTGCGTGCACAGCTGCAAGGCCATCGCAGGCTTCAGACCCCTGTGCCCACCGCCTGCCCAAGCCGAGGCTTCAAATGCTGCACACCGACAGCTCCAGGCGCGCAAACGACGGGATGCAAAGCACTGCATGAGACCCATACGACTGACCCACAGAGCCCACCATCTTACCCCACTGGGTACCCTGCCAGACCTCAAACTTCTGAGAAGTCTGTGCCAGTTAGCTGGAAAATATGGAGCTGGGACAGCGCCTCATCTGGGCTTCACTCTGCTGCTCTGTGCACCAGCTTGGGATTTAAGAGCCCCGCACAGGTATGGGATGACTGTGCAGTTCTGTGACCCTGGAGGGCCTGATCCGTGACCCACTGACTCTGATCTATTTGGAGGCTACAGGACTCCCCTCTTACACAAGGCAGCTCCTGGTACCAGATTGGGCGGTATACCCGCAATGCGCAAGCAACGATTGTTAGTTTATTCTCTCTGACCCATTTTCTCACAGTAATTGATGCCACTGTTACGTTGATTATCTACCTAACTTGAATCCATTAACAAAAATTGTGCCGTTCTTGCATGCCATGATATTTTTTCTTTCTGTATTACTCTCTTAGCTTGTACCTGCTGCTGTGGCACTATAATGCAAAACGTGCTCTCTGTTAATCCTGCATCTATTTCTTTACTAAGCGCGATATAATAATTATCCATAGTGCATATAGCATGCATGTTCCATAGCCTACCGTTAAACTTTATCTACACTGTGTAAGCCTTGCTTTTTGATTTTTAGTTATACACTGCACTGATCCACCTGTTAGTTACCATACATCACTGTATAGAATAACTTTATATTCCTAGCAAAGAATCTTGTTAACTTTTACATAAAAATTAGGCAGTCGGCTTGAGAGTTAATGTCATAAAGCTGTAAAAGGTATGTTTTTTTCTCTGAAAAGACAGTGTTTACTGCAAAAAGCCTGAAGGGAATAAATATACTCACCAGAACAAATGCAATAAGCATGATCTGGTGACTATAGTGTCCCTTTAATATATTTTATACATAATACATGTCAAATGTAAATGAGTACCAAGTTAATAACGGCTGCACACATGCCCAAATTCATTCGTAGACAGAGACGAATATGCTGGTTAATAGTATAAGGGATTTGTATGAGATGTACACACTACAAATACTTGTACAGGCATTGAAACACTTTCCCAACCTGAGTTCATTAAACTGTGTGGAATGGGCTTATAGATACCTTGTGTTTTTCTCACATCCTTTAAGTTACAGTCATTAACTCTTTGTACCATAACGTGAACAGTATATGTTGTTATGGTTCTTGGAGAGTTCGTTTATTATATACTAAAATATAAACAAATGTCGCTCTTACAGCAAATGTATGATCAGTATATAAAAGCAAAGTAGAAGGGCAATAAATACTAATTTCAACCAAGAAACACTGCCACAGTTAGAAAAACTAAAACCAACCAAGACACACAGGCACAATTACACCAGATATCTGCGCTACCTAAAGGTGGAATCATAATGCACAGGAAGCACGTACTGCCAAAGTGTGTCGGCTAAAACTTCTACTCTGCAATTATGAGATACTCAGACATGGTTTGTATTGCATGAAGGTTATAATTCTATTAAGCAATAAGGTCAGACATATAACATAAGGCTCTGGAATCTACAGTTATTTCTCTAAGAGTGTAACATAGGACAGAGCCTCTTCAAGAGAGCTACCCTAAGCCCAGGGGGCTATTCACAGCTTGTGGAAGTATTACAGCACTAATTAATGGATCTAGCGGATAACAGGTCTCAAGAACACAGCCATCCATTAGCAGTTATTGCGTACTGGCAACAGATTCTGCAGTGAAAGCCTAATATACACAGCTATTGGAAAACTCCTAGTTCTGGCCTTGTTCTGTGCAGAGCTACATGACAACTTTGCAGCCTGACAAGGAACACACGATAGAAGAATATTTATACATTTCCTTGAAAAGATGCCAAATAAGTTTCCTTTGGGTTTTCCTGCTTAGGTTGATTCAGAATACAGATGCAAAAAAAAAAATAATAAAAAAAAAATATATATATACACACTGTGTTATATATAATGATGATAAAAAAATAAATACACAAGATAGCTATTATCCGACTTTACAGCATTCAAGACTGGCATTCAACAGCCAAGAATCAATCAGAAAACAAACAAACAAGAGGAGCAAAGGGAACAGGCAGATACAACACAATAAAATACAAAAGACGTTATTGGAAAATGAACAGGAGAGTGCGGCGTGTAGAGAGGAAATCAATACTGTATACCAGGGACGAGTGCAATCACCTGGGCAATGCCTAACAATTAAAGAGAGGAAAGGTTTTTATTCATTGTCCCGCAGGGCCGCTCGCTCTAATAAATGGCTTGTTATTTCTGGAGCTTTTCCAAGTATTCCGAGGGGTTACCTTGCCCTGTGGTAGTACGATCCAGTGCCTGGGAGCTTCAGAAGTGTGGCCACCTTAAAGGGCCAGTAAAGTTTAAAATTAAAGGACCAGTATAGGCACCCAGACCACTTCAGCTTAATGAAGTGGTCTGGGTGTCAGATCCAGCTAGGATTAAGCCTTTTTTCTGTAAACATAGCAGTTTCAGAGAAATTGCTATGTTTACCTATGGGTTAATCCAGCCTCTAGTGGCTGTCTCATTGACAGCCGCTAGAGGCGCTTCCGCGCTTCTCACTGTGATTTTCACAGTGAGAAGACGCCAGCGTCCATAGGAAAGCATTGTGAATGCTTTCCTATGGACTGGCTGAATGCCGCGTATGCGCATTCAGCCGAGGAGGAGAGGAGGTGGAGAGCTCCCCGCCCGGCGCTGGAGAAAGAGGTAAGTTTAACCCCTTCCTCCCCCTAGAGCCTGGCGTGGGGAGGGACCCTGAGGGTGGGGGCACCCTCAGGGCACTATAGTGCCAGGAAAATTAGTATGTTTTCCTGGCACTATAGTGGTCCTTTAATGTTTGTTGGCTTTGTAGAAATAAAACGTATTTTTTATTTTCTCAGAACAATTGAACAGGACTCAAACGTTTTTCTTTATTATCACCTTAACAACTGTGGGCATTGTCAAATAAAATCTCTGAAAAAAAGATAAAGTGGGTATTCTAAACCAGTGCAAGTTAAATCTATTTTGGGAAAAGAATTATAGCTGTACCATAATTTCCTGCAATTCTGCCATTAAATACTAGATCTTGTCACATGACTATTGCGGAGAATTCAAAAGTAATGCATTTATTTATTTTTTTAAATATAACTGAAAAACACAGTTGACAGATAAATATTCCAATTTGGCTATTTTTGCCTAAAATTTTAAAAAAAACTTAACACTTTAGTGAATACCACTCCTCTCTGTTTCGCCCTGTATTGTGAACAACATGAGAGATTCTCAATTTTAATATTTTGGCAAAGCTATTACACAGGAAGCTTTAAAATCACAAATTATACGAATGCTCCATGCAATAATTACATTAGCATAATCTGAAGGGTTAATAAAGGCTTTTCATGCATTCCTGGCATGTTTTCTTTTAAGACAACCGTATAAATATTTCTGTCTCGATTTCACAGATGTGAAGATTATAAAATAATTACGATGCCTAAAAGAAGCATCAAACCCTCATGTTTGGGAATGGTTCTGGAGTGGTTTCTTCCACCATACTCTACATATTGTGGGTTCGCCAAATTAAATTTATTTGCACACATGTACAATATGGGGCAATATGCCCAAGTATTAATCAAACAATGTCAGTTGGTCCAGGTCATGCAACTAGGACTAGAACAAAAATGAAATTACACAGAGGCAGGGACTAAGGCAGTGGTTCCCAAACTTTTTAGGTCCAAGGCACCCTTAATATTTGAATATTTTTTCAAGGCAACCCAAGTTAAAATTTCTAGGTTGTATATCTGTACAGCGTTGCGGCATTTACTGGCGCTATAGTGTAATGTATAGTGTTAATGTTTGAAGGGGTGTTTGTATATAATTTTAGTGTTTTAATACAGGGGTGTGTCTGTATGTAATGTTTGCGTTTGATTGCAGGGGTGTGTTTGAATGTAATGATCACTTTTAAATGTACATTTGTGTTTAGTATTTGTGTTTGAGTGAAGGGGTGTGTTTGTATTTAATATTTGTGTTAGATTGCAAGAGTGTGTTTGTATGTTGTGGTAGTGTTTAACTGCTTGGATGTATGCACATACACTACCACATACATAGATATTCATGCACATTAACACACAGATACATATAAATACACCGACACATACACACATTCATATAGACACCGACACACACAAACATTGATACATGCACACACAATGACCCAGATACACGCAGATGTGCGCACACTGACACGCAGATGTGCGCGCACTCTGACACGCAGATGTGCGCGCACTCTGACACGCAGATGTGCGCGCACACTGACACGCAGATGTGCGCGCACACTGACACGCAGATGTGCGCGCACACTGACACGCAGATGTGCGCGCACACTGACACGCAGATGTGCGCGCACACTGACACGCAGATGTGCGCGCACACTGACACGCAGATGTGCGCGCACTCTGACACGCAGATGTGCGCGCACTCTGACACGCAGATGTGCGCGCACTCTGACACGCAGATGTGCGCGCACTCTGACACGCAGATGTGCGCGCACTCTGACACGCAGATGTGCGCGCACACTGACACGCAGATGTGCGCGCACACTGACACGCAGATGTGCGCGCACACTGACACGCAGATGTGCGCGCACACTGACACGCAGATGTGCGCGCACACTGACACGCAGATGTGCGCGCACACTGACACGCAGATGTGCGCGCACTCTGACACGCAGATGTGCGCGCACTCTGACACGCAGATGTGCGCGCACTCTGACACGCAGATGTGCGCGCACTCTGACACGCAGATGTGCGCGCACTCTGACACGCAGATGTGCGCGCACTCTGACACGCAGATGTGCGCGCACTCTGACACGCAGATGTGCGCACACTCTGATACACACCAACATACACACACACTCACACTATTTTTTTATATCTCCAACCACCCTACTGTTAGCGTACCTTGTATGTCCAGGATGGTTGCTTGGAGTCCTGCTGGCTGGTGAGAGTGAGGGGTTTGGAGCAGCTCCTGGAATGCTCCTCTCCCCTCATGCTGCGGCTGCCTCCTTTCCCTCCTGCACCTTCTCTCTGCACAAAGCTGGAAGGAAGTGACAGGCTGTCACTTCCTCTCAGCCGGCTAACATTACAGGGGCCCGGAGGTGGTCTTAAAGGACTGCAGCACCTGCGGGCCCCTGTTCAGTCGTTATGTTTTAAGTATTCCGTGGCACCCACAGTTTGGGAACAGCTGGGCTAAGGCATTCAGGACATTACTAGCCTCGTGTAAAAATGTCTTCTGCATGTTTTGTTCAAAAGTTTCTTTTTAATCCACACCCAAAATAATCTGTTCACCCAGGGTCTTACCTGTGGAGTTCTGGGTAGTTTGGTTAGTTCGGGCAAATTTTCCAAACAAATAATTACCCACAATTAAAATTGTTCGTATTTAAATTAAATCATGCTTGACCGTTTTTATTAAAGGACCACTATAGTGCCAGGAAAACATACTCGTTTTCCTGACACTATAGTGCCCTGAGGGTGCCTAGAGTGGTCCTTTAATACAAGGCACGCTTACCAGGAATATTCTCAGTTTGTAACATGGCCTGGTACATCGTAATTTCAAGTGGCATCACACCCAGCATAAACCTTGATCTTATAAAATATCAAATACCTCTGCATCTACTTTTTCATATGCTTTTTCTAAGTGCCAGTATCGGAGGTTCCTGTGAGATTACCCAAAGGATTCTATCACTGATCTTCATTGTGTCTCCTTATAGACACAGTGTTCCCATTTGCAGTCTGATTAAGCAAGAACCTATTAAATGGATAGGTATATGAGCAGTGGGAATTAGGGGTCTGGTGCAGCTGTGCAATTACTGAGCATCTGGAAGTATTCACCAGTGAATCAGGATAAGTGCTCTGTTACAGCTCTGGGGATTATAAAAATATGTTTCCTTTGACTAGAGAAAAATCAGGGGTTAAATTTTAATTGAGTGCATGGTGTATGTATGTATAGATAATATATATATTGGGTGGGAATTGTGATTGAAAACCCCTTCCACCTGAAGTCTGTGGATAGTTAATACAATGTTAAACAAAATTCTGCACACCAGTCAAGACTTGCTTTTCCCACAGAAATCACAAATCTGCACATATATAGTGGACCTTGGTTTGCAAATGCCTCGGTTAGCATAATTTTCGGTTTACAAATGAAAATCCATTGAAAATAATGCCTCGGTTTACAAAAAAAATTTGCAATACAAAGCAAGTTTCCCCAGGATGCATTGCACCTGGTGGGAGTTTTATAGCATTGCCCCCTGCATGCTGGAGCCTGTGGCAAGCATGTGGCGTCGAGTGTGGAGGTGTTGGAGTGGCTTTTGCATCAAGTTTTGGAGCCATTCTTGAAATTGTTTGCAGTTGTTTTGGGACTTTTTGGTGCATTTCTCAAGCTGTGGAAAGGTAGGGAGCTGAGCTTCGTCGTTTGCATGCCTTTTATTGTGTGCTCTGCATTGTGGGTTGCTTTCCATGCCAGCTCATTTTGACTTTTTTTCTGACCTCCAGAACGGATTAATTGGTTTTAAATGCATTCCTATGGGAAACCGCATTTCAGTTTACAAATGTTTCGCAATAAGAAACATCCTGGAGAACACATTACATTCGTAAACCGAGGTCCCACTGAATGTATATATCTATATATATCTATCTATATATATCTATATATAGATATATATAGATAGATATATATATACACACACACACACACACACACACACATACACACATACATATACACACCCATTGAGTGCTCTCTTTTTTTAATTTGAATACATGAAATTGTATATGAGCACCAAGGTATAGTAACATTATAACCTAAACAACTAAATCAAAACAGACAAAAAAAGCCAAGAAACACCAGCTTTACCTGTATGGAAGCTCCAGTTTTGTCATTACACAGACTGCAGATCAGCGCCCAGCGGCTGCTAGGGATGTGTGAAAGCTTAGTGATGGGTTCCATTTTTTCTGGACTTCCAATGCTCACCTATAAAAGTGGAACAAAAGAGGAACATAAAAAGGGTTCAAAAAGTCTAAACAGATCTTTGGATTTTAGAGTTATCTACATTTAAGTCAGGATTTAAATGATAGTTACATAACTGTGGATTGGAATCAGAAGGCTTCTAGAATAGTCCCTTGAACATCCTAATGTATTATTCATACACTAAACTATATAACTCAAATATCCAGCTTGCCATACAGGAAGCAGGGTTACTCCAAGCATCTTCTCATAGAAATGCATTCAATCAGTGCATCTCTACAGGGAGGGTTCAGCGTCTCAATGCAGAGCATGGATTTGCTGAATGTCAGTGTTGCACACTGTGCAGCACTGTACCAGGAAGCACTTCTAGTAGTGTTCCTAGGCTGTAATGTACACACTTATTCTCTGAAAAGATAGTGTTTACAGCAAAAAGCCTGCAGGGACTGATTATACTCACAGAACAAATACAATAGTCGTTCTGCTGACTATAGGGTCCCTTTAAATTTTTAATACACATTGTAATGAAAGCAGAGCCTCACATAAAAGATTTAACAAAAATTGTAGGTGATTTAATTAATTTGTATTAAATGGTGTAATTTCAAGGAACAAAGGGCAGTTCCTCTTTAAAAATGGCCAATTACTGCAGTGGATATGCAGTTCAGAAAGTAAACACAACCGGGTGAGCACTCACTGCAGTGCAAAGATGCACTCTGAGTCCTTTGTTCAGAACGCGCAGATAAATAAAAAATGATCCAGCAGACCTCACTAAAAGCTAGTTTTCTTTTCGTGTGGTATCACATAAAGTGACAACATTTTAACCACAGGAGATGGTCTTTGATAGGAAACATTCATTCTGCACTGATGTGCAAAACTGCCAAACTAGAAATTGAGCTACTACGGAAATCAGTCCTGGCAGCCTCAAAATGAGGGAGAACTGAGCAGGGAACAGAGGTCACTGCAGGTGAGTGATTAACAATGTACAAGGTACAAGAAGCTGTTGAGTGTGTTGCAGAGGTGAATATTACTGAATTCTTTATGGAATAACTCGCAAAACAGTCCTTCACTAGTGTTAAATATAGTCAAACATCTTAAAAGCAAATTCATATTCTAATCAGTTTTATGAGCAGTTGTTTGGAAGCACTTTAGCATTAAAAGGAAAAATGTGGGCTTTTGTTTTTAACTTTTAAATGTATGAAGGCATTGCATGAACTCAATGCAAAGACAATAGAAATGCTAAGCTTGTTCTTTTCAAATGGTTTGCCATGCTGAATTCATTTTGTGGTTTGAATTAAAATGCCACCCTTAAATGCTGACTCATGAAATCTCTTGGAGCTT